ACTAGGTCCTAAACCGCTTCCGCATAAATCTAAGATTTCCTACAGATTTGACATTGGAGGTTGTGGTTGAAATTTTAATTATTTCGAGCCCCCCCTAAAATTTTGAAGTTCCGCCGGCTGAGGATTTGGTACCTAACCCATCATTCAATGGTTTTCTTTTCATATAATTTTTTTAAGGTTATAGTATGCGTCATTCAGGTTATAGTATGCGTCATTCAACTTAACTTAGGATAGTGTGTGATTTTATTTAATATACTTTCAGTTTATGAAAATGAACCTCCAAGTCTGTAATATTGGGCCTTTTTACAGATACAATGCAAAAATAAAAATAGACACATCATCGGTTTAATCTTTGGGTTTTCGTTTTATCCTTTAACATAACACAACAAACTTTCCTACACTCACAACATTTTGTGGGGCCCACACTTTTTAAAACAAAAAAATAAATAAAAAATTAAAGCACGCAAAACGAATCTCTATAACATTACACAATCTCTTTTCCTACAACATAACTCTTATAAAACCCTTAATCTTTTTAGCAAATTATTTATTCATCGATTTAATTTTTTTGACAAATTATTTATCCATTTAAAGGAGAATGTGCACGTTTAAATCACGCATCACCACCATACACAATTTGTGTAAAATTTACGTAATACAAGATGCCAAGATGCACATCTAAATAAAGCATGTTCAAGTCGCATATGCTGCCCATGTGCATCTTGCAAAATGCAACACATGGCAGGTGTATTTTTGCTTTTTCACAAGTGGCATATGTAGATAATGTGTTATTTGAATGCACACACTCCCCTTGTACATTTCACTCATTATATTCATAGATAATTTGGCAAAAAAATTAAACCAATAATATGTTTGTTTTTTTGCATTGCATTGATAAAAAAAAACTGTAATATTGTGTAAATTGTACACCCATTAATTAAACTTTTGTTGGACATTAGTCTTTTTAGGACCGATGAGAGATTTGAAAGTTTCATTAAAGTATTTATGATATTCCATTAAATCTTTAATGAATCACTTGCTACATCACGAAGGGTAGGATTCCTAAGGCATATCTTCTCTCCATTTAGGTCAGATCCAAAATTAGTTTTTTTTTTTTAAAAAAAAAACCTTCATCCCGTTCCTTGTATTGAAGTTTGTAGTCCTTTTCGTGTATGTAGAGGTAGTCTCCTAGCAATACTTATGAAATATTCTAAAAAATGAAATATACAGTGTGTTACCAAAGTTGCAGCATTTAGGGTGTCGGCAGTTTGGATTGGATCGATTTTGAAGCAAAAAATTATCTGATCCAATCCTTTCAATTTAATCATTTAATCGTCCATTCAGTTTGCATTTTTTTTCAAATCCGACCCAATTTTATTCGATTTGGATTGCGTCGGTTTTTGATTTTTTAAAAAGTCTAAAATTAAAACTTATGAGAATTATTTTTACCAAAAATGAGCATTATTTATCATGGATCCTTTGTATTGGTACCAGCAGAAAATTCTGGCAATACCAGAGTAATAAGTTTTCCAAAATCACTAACAAAAAAAAAATTTGATCACTCTTCTACTAAAAAAAATACTTGATCGCAAATTGAATAAATATCCTAGAAAGAAATTCCATAACATAACGAAAGTAAACTTAAAACATTAAGCTGAATTCTTTCGATCCACGTTTGGGAATAGGCCTAAGAAAGCAGAAAGTAATTTTGGCTTGAATCGATTTTTATCGACCAAAATGAAAAAAATTCGATTGCGATTTTTTTTTCTGTTTTCAAATTTTTGGTTAATTCAATTATCAGTTTTTTGGTTCGATCACTGCAATTTGAATTGGTTTGGATCGGTTGATGAACACGCTCATAGCAATTTGAACCCTCTTCTTAGTAATGCATACCATCAGCAAATCTTCTTCTTATTGTAACCTAACTGACTTACTATAATATCCTCCTTCCATCACTAGATTTATAACCGCTAATAATACCATGGAAATTAAAATACCCCATGTTAATGAAGAACCACCCCCATTCAAGCTAACTAATTTATAACCACCCACTCAAAATTATTTGGTTGTAGAGACTTTAAAACCATATTATAAACCAACTCTTTCAAAAGTTTATGTGAAAATATATGAATAATTTTATATTACATTTATCCATAATTATCACTAATGAGGGAGGCTCACAGAGATAAGAGAGAGTTTTAGGTTTTTTTTTTTCTGTTGGAGAGAGAAGAGGGAGTGATAGCCACGTGAGAGGGGAAAAAAGAGCTAGGTGGATCTCGAGCTTATCCTTTGTTCTTTTGGTATATGCTAGGTTCATTGTATCACTTCCTCTTGAATAGGAAGGTTATGACAAGTGCGTATCTAAGCGAATGGTACAAAAAGATAAGCGAGTCTATCCAATATGAGAAGATGAGACAAGTTCAGACAGCGTGTAACCTAAACCTTGAAGATTTTGGATGTGCCAATTTATGGCCATCTCGTGTTATGCTTATATGCCAAAGGTAAAGAACTAATTTTACTTTTATACTAAATAGTTAAATCATTAAAAAAAAAAAAACTTTAAAGGAAGATTTTGAACACTGATGATTGTGATATCACCAACCTTCATTCCCTCCGCTGCATGGGTTGAGAAATATAAGAATCAAAACAAAACTATAAGTTGGAAGTTTGATATAGAGAGGATATGAGGATCCAAAACTTGATGCAATATGTTGGTACCATTCTTTGTCGTCAAGTGTGATATTTAGTTAAATTCAAAGCTGAACTTTGATTGTGGAACTAAACACTTGAGTGGTTACTTGAATTATTAATTATGATGGAATTAAGACAAAAGTTGAAGATGTAAATATAAAGAGAAGCAAACATGAGAGTTCAAAATGAGGGAGGAGATTCAAATTATGAGATGAGATATAAACAGAAACACAAAAGAAAGTGGAGAAATAAAAGAAAAAAAATTCAAGAAGGGAACATTAAAATCAATTGGGAGGGAGTGAATCGGTTGAAAGTAATGGCTATACTGTGAATTACACAATCTCCTTCGAAAATATCTAATTCTCACATTTTCAGACAATGAACAGTAACTTCATCCATTAGGCATCGTATTAGTAGCTGTGTGATGGTTTCCTTGTGGGGCTGGCTGTTATCAGCCATCTCATACATGCATTCCAAACTAAAGATGGGTTCTGTTCTGCAATTATTCTTATCTTACGTGTTAAAAAATTTAGAAAATTTTAAGTTTGGGCTTATATTGATTGGTATATTAGATTTTATAAAATGGTCCGAATGAATAATCTGCTACTTTCCCTAAAAGCCCATATAATTATGTGATTTATTATGGGTTCAGGAAACATCATGTACTTATAATTATGGGGTTTATACTTCTCCTTTCAAAGGAGAATAACCTTCTCATGTTATAGATACATTAATGGTGGAGCCCACTTCAATTTTTTTTCTCTCACTTCTTTCCCTTCTCTCTCTCTTAATTATTGTGTCAGCTGCAAAATAACAACTTCTCCACCAACATGAGAAGTTGTTATCCCTATAATTATTGGGTTTAAGCTCTATTTGTCAGTATGCTGATTTATTATGGGATAGGTAATCTAGAGTCTATAATGAATAGAAACTAGAAAAGCTGTTATATTTTTGTAAGGTTAAGATCCCCTCTCACTATTAACACTCTAGATGTGTATTTTTTCCATCAATCTTATTAAATCCAACCCGATTATTGATTCGGGTGTAATATTGGATCATGGATTCAACCGCCCGCATGACCCGGTAAATATATATAAATTTATAATTTATATTAAAAAACTATAAATATACTTAAATGCCTTTAAAAAATGATACTTATTTCAAATATTTTAACATGAAAAATAATAAATTATATATCATTATCCAACAAAAGATCAATCAAACATTAATACTTGTGATACTGGTATTTTAGGTTCAGTAGACGATATCTTTAACTATAAATCAAATCAAAATTTCCTGCATATTACATAACCAATATAATATTAGTTTTGTAGGTACATAATCTATGTAAGTTAATAAGTTATAGATCACTCAAATATTTCAAAAGAAAACAAACTATTTGTGTGAGAGTGAAAAAAAGAAAAGCCTCAATTGATGAGAACAAACCAATTTTTTTTTATGAACCGGGACAGGTCAGCAGTTGAGTTAATCGAGTTACCGATTTTTACAAAAACCCACCAAGTAACACCGGGTCACATCGGTTTTATAATATGACCGATTCAATATGAAAATCGGATAAATTACATAATCAATTCACCGGTTTCCGAATCAACTCAATCCAAATTTTATAATATTGGTTTATAAAGAGGAAATTGATTTATTTACTAGAGTGCATACTTTTGCTTAACATCCTTTTCATAATTATTGCGGTTGAAGCCTTTGAGGGGTTGATTCAGACGCCAAATAATTATAATTTTTTTTTTAATACAATAATTATAAATTTATTCTCTGTCAAAAGACATAAATATGGGTTTGTACTTTGTAGAGAGTAGAGACATAGGTTCTGCACTATCAATGACTGAAGTTTTAATTTCCTACATCTTTAATTTGCTAAAAGGCCAATTCACGTGCCTGGTGTTTTTTTATTCATTTGAACTCTTGATCCTATATTAATTACCTAATTCCCATTAGTACCAAAAAAGTTTGTAACCTTAAATTTTTAACGTTATTATTGCTGCTTATACACCAATACATATCGAAGTAGACTTACTAGAAAGTAGAAACTACGATATTACTCATTTTTAATTATCAGTGTTATTTCTATTCTCCATTCCTAATCAATAAATCTTATGGGATTTATAATCAAAACTTAAAACTTATGGGGTAATAGAGTTATTTTTTATTTCTATTCTCCAAATTTTTCAATGCTTTTCTTAAAACAAAAAAAATTTACGCTGTAAAAAATATCATTTTAAAAGTTATAATGCTAACACTCTTCAGCCGTTTACTATTAAAAAAATAATGATTTTCATTACTTACGTAAATCAAATTATACAATATTGGGCAGTTTCATGTAGTTTGGGGCAGTCAGAGTTTGACTACACCTTGTTTAACTGAAAATATCAACATCATCTCTCCCCTACCCAAAACCTCCTTTTTCTTCATCCCTTTCCTTCCTCCTATCTACACATCAAGTCAGTGATGACTAGAAACCACAAAGTACCTACTAAACCCTGCTTCCCTTATACAAAAATAGCAAGGTATAGAACAACTTACCAACTGCCCCATTCAGAAGATTTCTGCAGTACTATCAGTAGATCAGTGTCATCAGCAGTGGAACAAAAACAAATATGAAGAATCCCATGTAAGATCTGCAATCAATAGTCTATACGTAATCGCCTCAATTCAGATTTGAATGTCGGGATAGAACTGAGAGTCCTACGAGCAAGGTTCCTTATGTCCTCTCGCGTACAATCCCTTGAAATCCGAACAAGCTCCCAAAGGGCACCTCCACTGATCATGTCTTTTGCATTCACTTCTGCAATGTTTATAACCTCAATTGAGTTTTTGCAAAAATGTACTTTTGAAAAACTAGAAACACCAGAAGAAGTTCCATTACCATGCCGTGCCAAGTGGCAGAGTGCAAGTTCAATGTGACGCCTGATTGGCGCAGCTTCATTATTAGCATTTTGTACCATCCATGGAAGTGCTCCATCTTCTATCAAAAAAGATTTGCCACTTTTTATCCCTGTGAACGCAAGATACAATTACCAGACTATAAACAAAAAACTTATATATCGTAAATTTCTTTTTGGTGCTAGAAATATGGCAGCACCAGAAGTGGGAAGCAGCAGAGTGGGGGAAATTGGTGGCAATGACATGTTTAGAAACATAAAGTTAATCTAAAAGTAAGTCACTGACCCTGATATTTTCATTGCAGCTGTTACGTAACAACTTTGTTCATTTTCAATATAATTTAACATACCCTCATATAGCATTTTCAACCTTGACAAGAAAACAAACCTTCATTTGAAGCCCGAGACTCGCATTTAGCATAGTTGGCAATTCCTCGTGCAACTTGTGAAAGAACATCAGGATGTCCACATCTTACAATTCCCAGTAAAGCCTTAATACCTCCCTGGGATCTCAGCTTCATCAATATTTTATCTGGATGAAGAACACAATATTTCATCAATGATTAATGATTAATATCTAGTAAAGGAAATAAGAAGAATAATCATGACTTCAAATGTAAAATCTACAAATGAAAGCGTAATCTTTCCATAAACCTTGTTGGTATAGTAGCAATATATTTGCACTTATGACTATTTATTGTACATTCACGAAAATAAGGATTCTCACTTCTCACTGTACTCATTTTCTCTCTACAAAACACATTTTAATTAAAAGAAACACCAGAATGCAGAACAATGACATGAAGCTAGCGCCAAGGTTTTACTATTGCATGATGAGTTCCTAATACGTTTCATAAAGTAAAAACAGTACTCTTGAAACCTCTAAAATAGAAAGCCACATCTACTGAAAAAAAAAAAAAAATAGAAAGCCACAACACGTTAACTTCATTTGAGATATTTTGTAACGTTACGCAAATTCTTCTTCACAAGGAGCCTATCAAACTAAAGGAAAATTCTACCAGACAGATTATGATAGTGAATGTTGGACCGTAAAGTGCCAACAAGAGCAAAAAAATAAGTTTAAGCATAGATGAGAATATTGAGGTAGATGAGTAGACTTGCAAGAAAAAATGTGAGAAGACTAATAGAGGCTCAAGTGAAAAAAGTGAGTCAAATGGTAGATAGTTTGATTATGAGCCCGTTTGGATGGGTGTTGTAAATATAGAAAATATCCATAATTACTTGTTTCCTTTATTAATCAGATTAGTGTTACCTTTTTTGTTGGGTTTATTCCTTTAGGCTCATTAGTCTCTCTCTATATATATTGTACTCCTTTGTACATGTACTCTTGAAAATCAATAATAATTTTCAATTTTCTCCTTTCAAGTATGGGCTTTTGAAAACAGGACTTTTTATGGCTTGCTTTTTTCAGAAGGACTTTTTTTTTTCAAAATTAAAGTTATTTTGCACTTGAATGTAATAAATGAAAAGCAATCTTAACTAAAAAAATTGTTGGGATGTTAAAATTAAAAAGCAGTTTTTATGTATAAAATTATCAAAAATGACGATGGTGGTGGTAGTGGTGCTGGTGGTGGGGTTAGTTGAGGGTGGGGGCTGGGGCAAATTTAAATTTGAAAAAATTATTTGGCTTTCGATTTCTGCTTTTTTTAAAAGTCAGAAATTCTAACTTCAATAAAAGCAAGATCTTGACTTTTTTGTGACTTCTACTTTTTTTAAAAATTCACATCCAAACACTCATTTTTAGTGAGAACAACTTTTTTTTTTAAAAAAACATCCAAACAGGCTTGAAGATAGAGATGAAAATCTGAGGAGAAATTATTAAAATAGACCTTGATCTAAATGGATTTATTGAAAATTTGGCCCATGATAGAGCTCAATGGCATTTGATCCATGTAGCCAAATCCACCTGTACCTAGTGGGATAAAGCTTGATATGTATACATGTATGCAAATTAAATCTCTCTGGACAAACAGATTACATGATGCAGCATCCACGTAAGTTTGATTCTGCTAGTATGAATGTGAATTAGTAAGAAAATCACAAAGATGACTAAGCATTGACAGATTATGGAAAATATCAATCATTCAGCTTTAGGAGGCAATCATGGCATCATAATTGGACTAATTATTAGCTCATCACCAACGTGATGTGTCTTCAAGTATTTATTCTTATATTTTCATTTGGTAGCTAAATGTATATTTTGGACATTTGGCAACATGAATGACTAAAAAATAAGTAAACGTACCATTTCCACATAGGTTAGCAATAGCCCCAGCAACCATTCGAAGAGTTTGTGGTTCTTCAGCATCAGATGCAGTCATCGATAACAGAGTGATTCCCCCTTCAGCCATTATAAGTTCTTGATTGGCTTCTGAATTGCCATGAAAGAAAGCAAAGTAATATCAAAACTAGTTCAATGCACAAAACCACTAATAACTAGTAATAGTAAGTAGTAACAACCGACGAAGTACATTCCCGTTAACTCAAAACACTTATATATACATATATATAAAACTGTTAATCAACAATCACCATTCATGGCAAGATTGGCAATTGCCCCAGCTGCTACTCTGCGAACAGTTTCATCCTCGTATCTTCTAAGAAGCATCAGCAAGGAAGAAAGACCACCGGCTTCAACAATACTTTTTTGATTTTCCTCTGCATATTATATTGAGACAAATTACTAAACAAAATCTTAAAGCTATAATTGTTCTGAACAAAACAATTTCAATGAAAGGATGACTATTCTGACTGCTGTATGAATTTCAGCTCTTGTCAGAGTTCGTATAATATGATGCAATGACACATGCAACAAAAACAAGAATAAAAAATCAGGAAAATACTATCCAGAATCCACTACCACCTATTACAAAATTATCAGTATTTCCATCACCATAATGTACTTCGTTTTGAAGATTTTGCTAGCCAAACATCAAGAGACAACTAGAAAGTGGAAGATCAAGAGACAAGTAATAGAAAGTGGAAGATCAAATAACAGCCTTAAGAAGCGATAGCAACAACCTTCAGCAGCTAGGTTGGCCACCACTTTTACAGCATGAATTCGAACATTTGCATCATCTGACTCCAGCAACGACAATATCTTTTGCAATCCAACTGTTAAAATTACGTTAGTCATATACACAAGTGATGACAAATTTCAATTACAACTCAAACATGTACCTTGCTCAAAGAGTGCAGCAACAGATGACTTCTGACCATTCCCAGCTTCTTTCAGTTGAGAATGCCTAACTTGAGACATGGAAGAATCCACGGCAGGGAATGCATTTACAGAGCTTTCACTTTCTAAACACCTTCTCATCTATGGCCAGAACAATAATTTATATTCACATAAATAAATTAAATAACACTACGTCAAAGTCATGATAAAAGAACAAGGTATAGACTTGGAAAGAGAAAACTGAAAAAAGGGGTACAATATATATAAAGAGAGACTAAAGGACCTAATGGGCTGAAAAAAGAATAAACACAAATCCTAAAAATAAGAAAACACTAATCTGACTAATAAAGGAAATATAAAATTACAAATATTTTCTATATTTACAACATTCCTCCTCAAGTTGAAGAATGGATATTTATCATTCCCAACTTTTAGTAAATTCTTGATACCAACTTGAAAAGAGAAAACTGAAATATCATTGCTTTCTCTAGAGAACATGTACAAAAGGGGTACAATATATATAATAGAGAGACTATTGGGTCTAATGGGCTGAAGAACGAATAAACCCAAATCCTAAAAATAAGGAAATAATAATCTGGCTAATAAAGGAAATAAATAAGTACATATGTTTTCCTTATTTACAACATATAGAGAGACAAGAAAACTTTATGTCACAACGATTATTGCAGTTTTAATGTGCTAACCAATCTTTCCAACTTGATTAAGTACTTTACATTGTACATATTTGTCACAATATCACTAAGAAACTAGCTCCTGGTGGCCTATATTTTGTGTTCCAGTAGTTCTAAAATATGAAACTCGTAATAATTCCTGTAGTCTGAACCATCATGCAGTTCATTGGGGTATTCGGTTAAAGAGAAATGCACAAATTTCAAGGACGTCTCATTTCCTTTAATTTTTAGGATAGGATTGTGATGAAATATAAGACAGAAATGTTTTTCATATATTGATTGACACCCAAAGGGTTCTATATATACAGATTACAAGGTAGTTAAGGAGTTGAAGTAATAAATAAAAATAAATAAAAGTACACAACAAACGAAGAGGCATCACACTAATCAAAGAGACTAGACTCTAAAAAAGACTCTGGAATATTCTACACTCCCCCTCAAGTTGGGAGATATATATTGATCATCCCCAACTTGCTAATTAAATCCTCAAAGATGGGTTTGTGTAACCCTTTGGTGAGAATGTCGGCTGTTTGCTCCTTGGTAGGTATATATGACAAACATACACTACCCTCCTCCAATTTTTCTTTGATAAAGTGACGATCAACCTCCACATGTTTGGTTCTATCATGATAAACAGGATTTTGAGCAATACTGACAGCAGCCTTATTATCACAATAGAGTCTGACAGGTAGAGAATAAGATATCTTTAATTCTTCAAGGAGTCTTCTTAACCAGATTCCTTCACAAATGCCATGGGCTAGTACCCGAAATTCTGCTTCTGGCAACAACAGTTTGTTTCTTACTTCTCCAGGTCACAAGATTTCCCCAGACATAGGTACAATATCCTGAAGTGGATCTTCGGTCCATTGCAGAGCCAGCCCAATCAGCATCTGTATAGATTTCTATCATCCTCTTGTGTCCTCTTTTAAAGAGCATTCCCCGACCAGGGGTGTTTTTGAGGTACTTGAGGATTCTATAAACCGCACTAAGGTGTTTTTCCTTAAGAGAATGCATGAATTGGCTAACCATGCTAACTGCAAATGCAATATCAGGCCGAGTGTGAGATAAGTAGGTCAGCTTTCCTACCAACCTTTGGTACAGCTCCCTGTCAACATCTTCTCCATCTTCAATTCCCAATTTAATATTGGGTTCAAATGGAGTTTCTGCAGGCTTGCACCCAAGCATACCTATTTCTTGTAGCAGGTCTAGGATATATTTCTTCTGAGATAAGAAGATTCCTGCCTTGCTACGAGCAACTTCCATTCCAAGGAAATATTTGAGTGATCCAAGGTCCTTCAGTTCAAACTGATTAGCTAAACCCCCCTTTAAAGATTTTATTTCCTCCCAGTCATCACCTGTGACAATTATGTCATCAACATAAACAATGAGGATAGCAATTTTACCACTATCGGAGTGTTTAAAAAATAAAGTGTGATCAGTCTGAGCTTGGATAAATCCTCTTCCTTTAACAGCACGAGTAAACTTGTCAAACCACTCTCTAGGGGATTGTTTAAGTCCATAAAGAGACTTCTTCAACATGCATACTGAACCATCTCCCTCCTCAAAACCAGGTGGTGGATCCATATAAACTTCCTCATGTAAGTCCCCATTTAAGAAGCCATTCTTTACATCCAATTGATGCAAGGGCCAATCAAGGTTGGCAGCAAGTGACAGTAGGACTCGAATAGAGTTAAGTTTGGCAACGGGAGCAAACGTCTCCTGATAGTCTATCCATAAGTCTGAGTAAATCCTTTGGCAACCAATCTGGCCTTATATTTGTTGATGTTGTTATCTGCATTAAATTTTATTGTGAACACCCATTTGCAACCTACAGTTTTCTTTCCTCTGGGAAGTGCCACGGACTCCCAAGTTCCATTTTTTCTGAGTGCATCCATTTCTTCAAAGACTGCATCCCTCCATTTAGGGTCATTAAGTGCCTCTTGGATATTTTTTGGTATTTTTGTACCGTCTAATATAGTGTTGAAAGCACGAAAACCTGGAGATAACTTTTCATATGAAATGTGATGAGAAATAGGATGAGCAGTGCAAGATCTAGTACCTTTTCGAAGAGCAATAGGCATATCTAGGTTAGTTGTACCAGTGTTCTCAAGTGGATTGCTGGAACTAGGACTCGGGTCAGAATCCTGGCAGTCTAGAGGATCTTGAGGAGATTTACGCCTGCTGTAGAATTTTCCCCATTTACCGGGAGGATCTCCAGTCTCTGGTACAGTTGCTGTCCTTGTCTCCTGTACATTAACTCCCCCTGTCTCCAAAGGTAGAGGAACAACAGATGTTTCCAAGGGTAAAGGTAAGACAGTAGAATTATTTGGAATCCAAGACATGTCTTCATTTACACCAATAGACTCCCCCTGAAGAGAAGTCGAGGAAAAAAATGATTGTGTTTCATAAAAAGTAACATCCATAGAAACAAAGACCTTTCGAAGAGAAGGTGAGTAGCACTTGTAACCTTTTTGATTAGGAGGATATCCTATGAAGACACATCTAACAGACTTAGGATCAAGTTTGGACCTTTGATGTGGAGGAATATGAACAAAAACCACACAGCCAAACAATTTTGGAGGAAGGTAAGATAGAGCCCGAAAGGAGGGAAAAGAGCGGGTAAGGCAAGATATGGGAGAATGAAAATTCAGGACACGAGAGGGCATTCGATTGATGAGATATGAGGCAGTCAAGACAGCCTCCCCCCACAGGTATTTAGGGACATGCATTGTAAACAAGAGGGCTCTAGCAACTTCAATGAGATGTCTATTTTTTCTTTCAGCCACCCCATTTTGTTGAGGGGTGTTAGGACAAGAACTTTGATGGATAATACCTTGCTTGGTTAGGTAATCACCAAGAACAGAATTGAAATATTCAGTACCGTTGTCAGTTCGCAGGATTTGGATAGAAGTCTGGAATTGAGTTTGTACCATAGCATGAAAGTTGTTAAAAGTGGTTGCAGCTTCAGACTTATCCTTTAGAAGATATACCCAGCATACTCTGGAATGATCATCAATGAAGGTAATAAACCAACGAGCTCCAGATATATTTTTTTCACGAGTTGGTCCCCAAATATCACTATGAATCAATGTAAATGGAGACGAAACATGATAATCTCTGGGGGAATAAGAAACACGAGAGTGTTTTGCAAATTGACAATCATCACAACAAAAGGAACTTGGTTTTTTATTGATAAATAAGTTTGGAAACAACTTTTGAAGATAAAATAAATTTGGGTGTCCTAAACGACGATGCCACAACAAAACATCATTACAATCATCTGATAAACACAAAGAGTGATTTGCAAAAAATCTCTTTTCATGAGAATCTTCTTCAAAATAGTAAAGCCCTTCTTCCTCTCTAGCACTGCCAATCATCAGCCCCGAATCCTGTTCCTGAAAAACACAGGTTTTGGCAGAGAATTTAGAACCACAACGCAATTCAGAGGAAAGCTTACTAATAGAAATAAGGTTACAAGTAAGAGAAGGGACATGAAGGACAGAATTCAGAGTAATATGTTCAGAGAGCTTAATGGATCCCTTTCCCGCAATATTAGAGAAACTACCATCAGCAGTCCTTATTCGTGACTGGTGATAATAAGGGGTATAAGAACAGAACAAGGTTGCATTACCTGTCATATGATCAGAAGCTCCGGAATCAAGAATCCAACGACTACTACGATCAACATGGAATGGCATACCTTGTTGAGCAACATGGCTAGTTGCCTCAGCAGATTGAGACATCACCTTCTGAAATTGCTCATACTGAGCTTTAGGGATGAATACACCATCGGAATTTGGAGAGGCACGAGACTCCTCACCCTTATCATCAGAAGAGATTTGATAAGCACGACTCTTGTTCAGCCCCTTTGTTTTCCAGTTTGGTGGTTTTCCATGAATTTCCCAACATTTTTCGCGAGTGTGACCACTCTTATTGCAATGAGAACACCATCGGTCAGAACGTTTTCTATCACTAGGGGGACGAGGATTATGTTTTGCTACTAAGGCAGATACATCGGAGGATTTAGAGTTCTTGTCTCCCAACATTACCTTTCGGCGAAGTTCCTCCCGTCGTACCATAGAAAAAGCAGCTGCAATGGAAGGTAATGGGTTCAGACCCAATATCCTACCACGAACATCATCAAGATCATGATTAAGGCCAACAAGAAAATCATAGAGACGTCTTTTCTCTAAGTAACTCTTAAACCTTGCATTAGTTTCTAAACCTTGAAGATCTGCTGCATCATAAAGATCCAACTCCTGCCACAGAGTTTTTAAAGCAAGAAAGTATTCAGTAACAGACATCCCCTCTTGATGTAACTCTCTTACCTTGGTGTTGAGTTCAAAAGCCTGAGAAGCATTGCCCAGGTCAGAATAATATTCTTTAACGGCATCCCAAATTTCCTGAGCCGTATCAAGAAACAAATAAGTTTGACTGATATCAGGATCCATGGAGTTAGTCAACCAGGTCATGACCAAGGCATTTTCAGTCATCCATTTATCATAATCAGGTTCATCAGCTTCGGGTTTTTCCTTTTTTCCATCAAGATACCCCATTTTCCCTTTTGCTTGGATAAACGGCTTGACAGATTGATGTCATTGCACATAATTCTTACCGATTAAACGGTGGTTTGTAATCTGTATAGCTGGGTTGTCTCCGGAAGACGAAAAATAGGGAGGAGGAGAGACACCGGAAACTCCACCGGGTGATTTGTCATAATGCTTATTCTCAGCCTCATTATTTTCATCTTCCATTGTTAAAAAAAAAAAAAAAAAAAACGTTCAGAACAAAGCTTGATGAAGAGGAAACAACAAGACCCAGCAAAAAAAGGTGCTCCAATCGTGATTTAAACCCTCTTGAACAGGAAGAGGGAGGCCAGGCGAGCTGTTCTGTGAAAGCCGCGTGTCAAACGGAGACCGACAGGGCGGCGCGTGGCTGACTTTCCAGCGATGGGGCTGACGTGGGTCGACTCGGAAATGGCTTCTGAGTCCAGTGGTGGCCTTGGTTTCGTGATTGGAGCGGTCCAGATATGAGATCTGGGTTATAGAAGACGAAAAGTGAAAAGAAAAAAAGGAAAAAAAGACGTGGAGGTTTACAAGATGACCACAGGATAACCTGCTCTGATACCATGATGAAATATAAGACAGAAATGTTTTTCATATATTGATTGACACCCAAAGGGTTCTATATATACAGATTACAAGGTAGTTAAGGAGTTGAAGTAATAAATAAAAATAAATAAAAGTACACAACAAACGAAGAGGCATCACACTAATCAAAGAGACTAGACTCTAAAAAAGACTCTAGAATATTCTACAGATTATGTTTATGACCTCCATTTGCTGCTCTGCTCATTGTTGTTTCACGGGAGTTTCCATAAATGGGATGCAATGATATTGGTGAGCTTTGTCCATTTTTGAACCACTCCCTTGTTTTCAATATAGATGGATTTCTTATCCTCCCCCATTAGTACTCTCACTCTCACTCCTTTCTTTTTAAACTTTTTTCTTGCATTAAAAAAGAAAAATATATCCTTAAATCATTTAGGCTCTTTGAATTACAATGTATTCAAATATATGTGGACTTATAATTTTTTAATAGCACAGGAAAAATAGTAATAATAATAATAAATAAATAAATAAATTAATAATAGTATATACCCTTATGTATATCATAAAATTTAATACAAGGGATATTTAATGAGTCAGCAATGGTTCTCTTCCTACTATTATCTTATCACAATCACACACAAACAAGGAAAATTTATATCTTATCATCAACCACATATTTGGAAAATTTCCTCAAAGAGTTTTCATAATTTCCACATCAATTATCCAAGAGTGTAATTTCCAAATCAATTATCCAACAGTATAATTAAATCAATTATCATAATTTCCCATATCAAATACCCAAATCAATTATCATAATTTCCCATATCAAATACCCAAATCAATTATCATAATTTCCCAAATCAAATACCCAAATATAAATAATTATATAATTAATTCTAATATTTTCTAGAGGATAAAATTCCCAACAATATAATTAACCAAAAAAATTCAACCCAATAATGTTCCCAATAACATTCATATAATTAACCTATATCGAGGGACTAGGATTACATGTAACTTAATTTAAAGGTCAAGATTACATCAAACAAAAATTCATATAAAGCTAACCCTTGACTCTCTAGGTGTTAGGATTACCTGGACTCCGTGTTTAATGACTTCCTATGGAAAAGAGGAATTAGAGAGGGGAAGCGTGGTTGGTAGATGATGAGACCTTGGGATGCACCACCCAAAAGCTAGCTCAAAAGGTGGGAGTGCCCAAAGCCTTATAAAGCCCACATTAGTTGCCCATACAATCAATGTGGGACTCCAAGTCCCATACCTTGCAAATGGAATCCCAACATTCCACCATGCATCCCTAGTGCGTGCCCCCACGCACAACTCCACGTGATGGATGCTTTGATACCATTTGATGAGACCTTGGGATGCACCACCCAAAAGCTAGCTCAAAAGGTGGGAGTGCCCAAGGCCTTATAAAGTCCACATTAGTTACTCATACAATCAATGTGGGACTCCAAGTCCCATACCTTGCAAATGGAACCCCAACAGTAAACAAAGAAAAATAATAACTACAGAAATTTTAATAAAAAAATTGGAAATAAGGAGAAAGAGGAGAAGGGAAACGGAGAGGTGATGAGGATTGGAAGTGATTTGGTTTGGTTTGGTTAGATTAAGCCCCTATTTATAGCTGAAGTTTTAAGCTCATGAATGGGCTTTGTAGATTTTGTTTTCATATAGAATTTGTTTCCTTTTCTTCTGTAATTATTTGTTTCCTTTTTTTCGTAGGATTATTTGTTTCCTTTTCTTCTTAGGATTTCTTTCCTTTTAGTTCTCTCATGGGCTCATGATATTATATCCTCTTGCTTGTATTATTTATAGGATATTGCTGACTCATTAAAAAAGATATTGCTAACTCAAGGCTGACTCATTAAATATCCTATGTATTAAATTTTATGATACAATAAGAGTATATACTATTAATAATTTATTTCTTTATTATTATCATATTATTATTATTATGGATTTTATTATTACTATTTTTCCTGGGGTATTACATAATTGCTAATTTATGAAGCACTAAAATATTAAACATCACTACAAATAGGAGTGTAAATGGGTCACACGGCCTATCAGGGGCTTATAGTCTGGCCTATCTTAGGCCTGACCTGGCCTAGGTTTAGGCTTTTAGAAAAATCCATTTAAAATTAGGCCATAGACTCATTTTAAAAAACCTGGTCTAAAAACCTGCAGGCTAGCCTTTTTAATTTATTTAATAATATAATATATTTATGATATATATTGTTCACTTAAAGACATATTCTGAGATCAAACACTAATTTTCAAATTAATAGGATTAATGTAATTTTAATAAATAATAAATATTTATTTAAATTTAAATTTAAAATATAATATTAAATTAAATTAGTAAAGAAAGTGCAAATTATATGTATATATATATATGAAATTTTTATGTGATATTTATGAACATTATTTCAAGTGTTGTTAATGAAAATATTATTTCATGAGTTGTTAATGAAAATATTATTTCATGTGATCTTTGTGAATAAGAAATTTTATATTTTATATTTCAGTTTGGTCTGGGCCTATAAACCTTAGTTTGCAACTTAGTAAGCCTTACAAGTCGTGTTAGGCTTTAGTTTTTTTTATAATAGATCAAGCCAGACCTATAAATCAAATAGGCTAATAGGCTAGTATAGGCTCTAAATATTTCATATAGGCTTAGGCTATCGAAGTTAAAGTCTGGTCTAACCTGGCCCATTTACACCGCTAACTGCAAAGATAAATTGTATAGACTCCTGCATACTGAGTCAGTAACACTATACCTGGTCAGCTTCAAAGTTCAATTGCAATAATTGACTTCTTAATATTATTATTTCTTCTTCAAGTTTCTTTTTCTGATTAGCCTCATCCTCCAGGATGCTGCGAAGCTTTATAATCTCTGCATCACCTCCTGCCTAGTACACAAAAAAGTTTCCAATATACAAGAAATCAATGCTTGAAAAATATGCAGCCAGAGAAGTTTGTAATTTTAACTGAAATATACCTCTGCTTGTGTATTTCTTCCCAGCTGACTTTTTAGATATTCTACCTCTGCTTCAGCTGCCTTTCTCCTATCGCTTTCATTTTCAAACAGCTTTTTGACCTCAGCAATTTCATCTGCAGAAGATAGTGTAGGCCCCTGCGCCAACACAAACTAAATAATTAAATAAGCAAGTAAGAGAAAATAAAATTTGTAGATTGGATATCATATCACCAGCTATACTACTTCAACAAGCCAATTGTCAGAACATAAACTTTAACATCAGGACCAGTGAACATTGAATTGTTAATTATAATATTGAATTTAGCACGAACCATGAAGATTGAAGTAAAGACAAGGAAAGGCAGGAAAATCCTAAAATAGGAGATGGCATGATATAGATATTGAAATGTACCAGCAAGGTAAAACAGTTCAATTCTTATCCTTTAACCGAAAAACTACTATGATAATATATTAGCATGATATTTTATCCCCCCCACCCCCCAAAAAATAATAATAATAATAATAATATTATTATTATTATCATATAAGAGTCTGTCTTAATGGAATTTTAAGTTAGAAAAGTGAGGCACGTATTCAGTATGGATTGACAACGTAACAACTCCAAGGTCGGTTTGCGCATTGTTATGCTTCAAGCTAAAAAAGGCTCTTACATAGAGGTGTGTTAGAAATATAAAACCATTTACGGGATTTCACTTAACAATCTAAACTTTTTCGAGAGTTGGTCTTCAACACAGATTAACAACAGTAATTACTTTATATTCAAAAAAAACTTTTCACAACAACCTAAGCACAAAACAATAAGAGTTAGGAAGAGACTGACGGATCTTGGGAAAACGGTCACATACGTCAATAGCTCAAAATATCCATCAGTAATAAAAGAACATGGAAAAAGAATCCCCTTTCAAGAGTACCAAAATAGTTAATATTGTTTGAAATAGAATACCTCTCCACACCCATCCTCAAAATAATTGCAGCCATGTCTTTCTTGACTTGACACCAACTTCTGCTCCAGCTGCTTAACTGATTCCATGTACTCCATCTGGCATTTCAATCTCTCTCTCTACAGGAAACAACTCAATATGAGACATTATGTAAAGATGAAAGAGGTTTCATAAAAATAAAAAAATAAAAAAGAAATTCATAAGAGTTAGCAGACTCTTACTTCTCAAAAAAATAAGTGTGCACCATGTGTAATCTCTGCCCCAGAAATACAATGTAGTTATGGGTGCTCTTGAAACAAACAAAACTGCAAATTTTGTAATTTGGCACTTGGTTGCAACCACACCCACATTGCAAACTAGTGGCTTAGAAGATGAAACTCCAAGGTCTTAATATCTAAGAACCCTCTGTGGAGCCTAGGCCCTCCTCTACCTCCATATTTCTAGTTTAATTTCTTCCAATTAAATCCCCTATTCAGATCTGTTTAATCAGCCAGAAACCCTAATATATCATACAAACTGTTCTAATTTCTATACAACCTCAGTATTGTTGTTTGTAGTTACTGTTCACAGCACAGGAAGGCTAGAAAAACATCCTAAATCAAGTATCAAGTGCTAAAGTATAAAGATCCTGAATCACATACTTTAATAACAATTAAAACGCTCATCCCTACAACATCAACATCAACATTAACAGCACCTTAACCCAAGCTAATTGGGGTCAGTAGTAGACGAACCCAATGATATATAAGAGGAGATTAAACAAACAAAAAAAGAAAATAAGATAAAAGACAAGAAGGGGAAAAGAAGGAGAGGGGGGATTGAAGAGGAAAAGGACTAAAAAGAAACCATCTGAAACATAGAATAACAACGGATCTATAAGTTTATAAAGCATTTTGAAGGGATGGACGCTCATCCCTACAACATGTTGATAAAATTTATAAAGCATTTCAAAACTAGAAGATTTCATTTTAAAAACAAGGTATTGTGTTCAAGATAGTGCTATTATTGTATAGAAAATACAGCAAACCTCTAATGCATCCGCAAAGTTCCTCTCAACCTCAGCAATACGACATTGTGCCTCCAAATTTATTCTTTCAACTTCATCCTCATAAGCTTTCTGCTGCCGTTCATTTTCTGCAATAAGTTTATCTAATTGTACCTCAAGCTTCCGAGACAAACTTTTATAATCAAACTCCTCCTTTATTTTCAGCATATTCTCAACTTTCATAGCCTGAGACATAAATACACATCCATCCATCTTTCATGCACAGCCAACTATATTGATTCTCAACAAAGCTTTTAATTTGAACTAGTAAACAGAATAATAATAATAAGGCATATGGTAGGGAAAATATCAGTAACAAGTCAATCAAACACTGTAAACTGTGATAAAATGAATTAACTTTGGAGGGAGGAATTAACTGGACAGATATGCAAATCAAGATACAAGCAAGAGTAGATTAATGCATGGCACAGAGAGGTAGGCAAATCTAAGTCTTCAAAATTAACGCATTTAATAATAACTGGGACATGAGATCTCCAATATTGAGGTTGGGAAAACCATTTTTCAAAATATTTTTTCAACTTTGACATCAAAATTACTTTAAACATTGAAAAATATACAATGAACAGGAATTTAAACGCATAAATTCAGATAAGGGGGCTAAATGTTTTTTTGGTCCCTATAAATTATATCATCTTTTGATTTCCGTCCCTCTTTAATTTACATTTTGGTTCGTGTCCCTTACTTTCTAAAAGTGGCCACTTTTGGTCCTTGCCATTATCATAGATCCTTTGATACCTAACGTGTTAAACAGACTCTCAAACCAAGTTTTCCACTTGTCATTTATGATCCTCCAAGCATTAAATTTGTCCATATAGGAGTGGCGAAAATCTCATGTGATGATTTCCATGGAAATTGTAAAGTAACCAATTCAACCCAAAAGCTTAAGCTATTAGATAAAGACCATATTAATGGTTTTATATTATATTTCTCTAATATGTCCCCTCACACACAAAAGCCCATTAAGCTTGAAGCATGGACAATACATTAGGCCCCACATACTTGTGCTAAGCTTTACAATATTTAGTTATGGGAGAGGTTATACTTTCAAAATAACATTAAGTAAGGGCAATTGATTTGATTTTGATCCAACAGCCATAAAAGCGGTTGTAAGAGGTTGTAAAGGAAAAGAAGTTATAAGTATAACCTCCCTCTTTAATTATTATTTTTACTAGAATGGAGAGTCGTGAGGATCGAACTTGTGACCACTTGGCCATGGAGGCTTTAATACCATGTTAAAAACCAATGCAACCCAAAAACTTAAACTATTAAGTAAAGGCCACATTAATAGTTTTATATTATATTTCTCTATCAGAAATAAAATGATAGAAGCCCCCCATTCGCCTTCGCTTCACAATATCCAATCTTCTTCCTTCTTCTACCACCAATGACAACCATAAATTTTAGATCCCTCTTACCCAAATTGTGGCATTATAAACCAAATGAAGATTGCAGCTTGAATTTAATTCCTTCCACCGTAGTTGAAAATTGCAGCACCTCCAATTTGCAAGTTGCAATTACCCACATCCACCGAAAGAACCACAAGCCACCAAACCCCAGCCAAGACAGAAACAGGAGCCCAACAGTGAAAAAACAGAGCAACATGGTCAATCCGAACACAGACCAATCACCTAACACCAGTGGTTCTAAGGGTTGGTGTGACTAGGAATTTCGTGGTTCACCGTTCACATGATGTTTTGTGGGGGGAATTTACAGAGGATGAGTTCTAATGCCTGGGATTTGAAATTGTTTTGTTTTAGGCCTTCTAATATTAGAGGTTGATGATAGGGTTCTCAAAACGGGTCGACCCGGCCCAACCCGTATTCAACCCGAAAAAAACGAGCCGGGTTAGGGTTGGCTCGCGGGTTGACTCGGAAAAAAGCTCATGGGTTGGCTCAAAAAAAGCTCGCGAGTTAGTTCGAAATATTGCCTGCAGGTTGGCTCGCGAGTTGACTCAAAAAAAAAACTCGTTTAATGCCACGTCTTCTTTAGCAGCTTCAAACCCATCTTTTGTATCAATTTTCTCTCCAACCCTTCTAATTTTTTTATTTTCATTTCCTTCATCTCCCTTTCCCCCAGTCTTCTGTTTTTGAATAGTAGCATCATTAGCATGCTTCTTGCCCCTAAGAGTTTTGGCAGATTCCATAGCCTTGAAATATTCGTCGAAGGATGGCTAAAATTCCAACTCCTTGGGAAGAAGCCCAGCATTAGAAACACCATTAAGCGAAACAATAACTGGCCCATAATTGAGCTTTGGAGCATGAGAGACCCGAAACTGAAACTTCCTTGCAACTCCTGCGTTCAAAGCATTACCAAAGAAGGGTCTCGAAGAAATAGGAGAAATGCTCAAAGCTTTACCTTTGAGTTGATTCACTTTGATCCAATAAAACTTGGCTGATAATGGAGAAATGTTAAATTGAGAAGATTAGGGTTGGCTCGTTGAAAACGATGAAAGAATTAAGAAAATGTCGACTGCAGCTTTTGTCTTTTTGATATTATTATTTTTAATTAAAAAAAAAACCCAACCCGCGAGCTGGCCCGTTTGACCCGCAGGTTGGCTCGTCTTTTTCAGGGTTGGATCGGGTCGGATTGGCAGCTCATTTACGCCAACCCAACCCGGCTCATTTTTGGCGGGTTATGAGCCAACCCGACGGGTTGGCTCGTTTTTGCCAACCCTAGTTGATGATACATATGTTGGCCTGGGCTATGTGGGTGTGTCATGGTGGGTGGTAGTGGTTCAAGCAGTGCTCACAGCGGTGCACACTTGGAAGCAGGGAGGTTCTATTTCAGGGGACTGGGTTCGTTTGATTGTGGGTTTGTGTTTGGGGAATCTTCAGGATCCACGGTTAGCACTGGGTTTTGGCTATGGGCAAAATCTTTTAGGAGTGAGGTTTCCTCATTCCTTGATACCCTCCATTTGGAAGAACAAGATACCTCTAAGGAAGATTTGATGCAAACGGTGTTGAGAGTGAGAGCAATAACGATGTCTCCTAATAAACGATGACCTATCTATGAGAAACTTACAATCTTTGTTTTGATTTTGCTGGACAATGACTTGTTGGACAGAAAGAGAAACCCATCTGTTTTCTTGTAATCTAAATAGCTGATGGACACCAAAAAATGGTGGTATGGTTGTACAAGGATGCCATTCCAAAATGGAGGAGATCCATATGTGCCACTCTTCTTTTAGACTTGCAAGTATGTGGTTGCTGATTTGAGTTTAGTGAGAAGGAGTACGTGATTTTCCAGTGAAATTGGATTGGAAAAAATGGAGAGGGGAAAACAAATCAAAGTGGAGAAGGGAATTTTGAGAGGGATGATCACATGTCATGCACATGACCTGGTTTAATGAGGGATGGGTCCCGAACGATGACTCAAAATGCTGAGTGGACAAATTTAAAGCATGGATATTGCAAAAGCCCACTTTATATTTAAAGCATGGATAATGCAAAAGCCCACTTTATTTTGTATTAAAATTCAAATTAGCCATGCCTAACTACTTCATCATATAGGATTTGATACCAAGTCAACAACAACAACCAACTCTCCTAAAAAGCTTCAGATGTTAGGTAGAGACCCAATAATGGTTTTATATCTAACATATTATACGAATAGAAACATACCAAAGTACAGACATTCGTAGAAAAGAAAACTGACCCTTTGGCCAAACAATATGGTGCTAGAAGTCTCTCCACGATGACGTGGAGATGGGCCAATAGTCACAATCAATGAAGTCCTCGCTGTTCCTGCAAATGATTGGAAAACATAAAGCACGGAATATATAATGACATAAACAAAACCACTGCAGGTTTCAACAAATAGGAATAACATTCAAGAAGAAGAATAACGTGAAGTATAGACCAAAAAAGATATATATAAGAACGTAGAATCAGTTTAATAAACAAAAAATCACATATAAAGTATTTTATCACATGATGTTGAAGAAATGAAGGCTAATAGGTTGATATCTAATAAAACTGATTAAAGCATCTTACCTCCAAAGGAATCTCTGAGCAACCTAGTAAGCTTTGAATCACGAAATGGAACATGAGCACTGTTTTCTGCTAGAGCATTAATACATTTTCCCAGTGCACTAAGTGAGAGATTGATACATTTAGCCTCCTCTAGCATGTGCCCTTCACTTCCTGGTGGGGGTAAAAGAAAAGACACAAAGTTTATCATTTATAATAAAATACATTCATATTTGGAAACACAACACACAAATCCTAAGTTCAGTTTCAGTATATACCAGACTTATGGACACGCTCTGATCCTGCCAAATCTACCACAACCAGCTTGCTCTTTCGAAGAAGTGGTTTTGCGGGTTTAGTCAAGTGAGAGGTATCATTATTCTCAGTAGAAACAATATCTTCACTTTCCACGACAGACCTCTTAACATGTACCTGTGTGAGAATAGATAACTTCATCAACATTAGATATTATTTTTATGCAATGAAAAATACAGGCTAATTGGATATCTTGGTACACGATATGTAAAAATAATTAAAAAGTAAACAAAAGACAGTTCATTATTTCACCGTCAGTATAGCATGACTACGGGAAGATTCAGTATTCAACTTTGTGTTAGCAGCAACTCGATGAGCTTCTCCTATTCTCAGCAACTCCAAGAAACTTTGCTGATCCCTGATTTCTATAAGAGTTGCCCCAGGCAAAGACACATCACCAGTTCTTGGATCTTCCACTATGGGAATATTATCATTTGCTGGATTAAGCAAGTCCTGAAGAGTCTCCATGTAAAGCTACACAGTTTGGAGAAGACATTTCAGCAAAAAGTCAAATAGCCTAGGATAATTATATAAACAGAGAACACTAGCACAATCAAACCATACAAAACACAACTTTAACGGTTATTGTTGGAAAGTATGTAAACATGTCTAGATTCATTGTATAGGCTAACCAAATCATGCAATTAAAGATCAGGAATTTAGGATAGCTGTATTTTTTGTATTTATTAATTTTTCGCTATATAGTTCAGTCTCCGTTGTGTAGTTGAGACACATGGATTTCATCAATCTCAATCTCTCTCATTTTCTCTTGCCTAAACAGTTATATAGGTGCAGTATGATGCCAGAAGTATGACAACCAATGCATATGAGGCAAAATGCAATAATACACTAAAAAGTATACAACCTGCAGATATGAGACAGTGACAGAATCAGTTTCAGGAGATAGGTCGGCTAAAATATCCTCCATGGAACGAACCATGATACCACGATCAGAGGTGTCTTCTTCCCCCAATCGTCCTAGAGTAAAAGTTTTCCCCGTTCCAGTTTGACCATAAGCCATCACAGTTCCATTATAACCATCAAGAACGCTCTACAAACCAGATATCAAAAGAAATGTTGAGTCATCAAACATTTAAAAATATGACAATCCTTTGAAGGAGACATTGTATAACCACTAAGAATGATGTTTATCAAATGACACTAAATAAGCAAAAATTGATGTGTAAATAAAGGATATTCTTGAACAATAAAGAAATTCAAAATTATGACAAACCTCGACAACTGGCTTAGCTACAACTTCATAAACACGCTTTTGGGATGAAAATTCAGTAAGCACTTCATCAAACTCAAAAGTGTCTGAATCCCAATTGTTTCTCCGAAGTTTCAGCCTTTTAAGCTGAAAGAGAATTAACAAAAAGAAAGGGTTAAACCTTAAACAAGGCTTACGAATAAAAGAAATCCAAAAATTATATCCATAATCAAATTAAAATGCAGAATATATAGATGGTTGACCAAGATGAACCTCGGGTTGTAATTCAACACAGTCAGCAAAATCAGCATCAGCCATCATTTCTTCCGTATTTCGAGGTCTCAATCTTACAGCCACTCGAACCCTTCCAGGCACTGTACTCAAGCATGATAAGAGAACAAGTTTAACAATATTGCCAAGAGCACAAAAGAGAAGAGAATGTTTGAAATGTCGCATTCTCTTTAAGAATTGATTTTCAAAATACATATAACGTAAGTATAAATATACTGCAAGGAAATTAGAGATAAATTTCTAGACATATTGGCCAATGGCCATAAGTTCCTTTAAACCCAATACCTTTATGCAATGAACTGTTCCATAGCCTTTTCACCATCATCATCAATTCCAAAATCTTCTCTAACAAAAGTTACATATAAAATTGAAATAGAAGACAAGTGGTGCCGGACTATGACACCCACCATTAACAGGTGTGAATAGACCACTTTTTCAACCCAACAGATCAACAAAAGAGCTTCAGTCCTATAACAACTCAGTGTGAGACAGGGACTTCCCATTCAAAACAGAGGCTCTCAACTCCTGTCAACCTGGCTTTTTGGAGTGGGTTCTCCTCTACACCCAGCTGAGCCCACATCATTCATTTCCAAGCTATATTAAAATCAAGGTAATCAATGGCACGCTATAGCGACACAGTGGCACATCACGTCCTCCAGCCACTATATCAATCAAATAGTGTTTTGTTTTGCTGTCACAGCTGCTATCCCATAGAATCGCAGCCATCACAGCCGTCGTTCCTCACAGGGGGAAATTCCCCTCTTTACCCTGCCATTTTGTGTTTTATTGACTCAAAATTTTATGGGTATTTTTGCAATTTGCCCTCATTTTACATCAGAAACACAGGGCTTCAGATTCAATCAAAACACAAAAAAATTCACCTCTGCTTTGAGACCAAAAAGACATGAAGTCTGACCTGTGTTTCATTTCTTCCACTCCATGCTAAAACAAATGCACACCAATCTATTTCTGACTTCACCAAGTCTTGTGTACTATTTTTACCCATGTAAGTTTTGGTTGACTTTCTCCTTTCTTTATGCCATACTCTTGAACAAGCATCTAGGACTAGGAGTCTTTGAAGAACATACCCAAACCATCTAAATCTATGTTCTCGCATATTTTCTTCCACCGGTACTACTCCAAATTTTCGTTGGATATCTTCATTTCATATTTTTCCCATCCTTGTATGACCACATGTCACTTTAGCATCCTCATTTCCGCTACTCCCATGCTAATGTTGTTTCTATGCTAACCAATATCAGCTTTGTATGGCATGGCAAGCCTTAATATTGTTTTATGAAAATTTCCTTTTAACCTAAGAGGGATTGGACGATCACACAAAAATCTCATTGTACTACGCCATTTCATCCAATCTGCTATAATTCTACGGCTCAAATCCTCATCAAACTCTCCGTCTTTTGCAAGATCAATCCCAGATAACAAGAACTGAATAATAAATTACAACAAAACATACTCTATCAATAATCATGGCACACACAAAACTAAGGAAAAAGCGCAAAAGCAGAGAATAATAACTGTGAGCATCAAAATAAGAAGGAAAGCCTCATAGAAAACAATTTCGATAGCATCCCTTAAAAACAAGCCTTACTAATCCAAAATAACCAAAAGCTAGAACAAATATATATCTTACCATCGCAAGTATGGCAAGTATTACCCTTATGGCCAGATCTAAAATACGGTGTAGCATGCATAATTCAAATTTAAGACATGGTTGGTCCAATATCACATGTTCAATTTCTAATTCAACATCTACGTATTAAAAATTACACCCAAAATAATAAAAATAAATTCGAAGACAAGAAGAGAAATATGCAACCACCACTTGTTGGCACATAAAAGGCCTTGTTCTTAAATCAATCTTCACGAACTCACAAAACCTCATAATTAGGTTTACGAGTGAGGTCATAATCAGAAGCGAGTGAAATCGTTCCTTATTTGGATCCTATTTAGAGCTACATTGCTCCTCGCTCAGTCCTCTGTGACCACACCGTATATATTACCGTTGCTTAGTGTTTGTAACTAGTTTTGCGTGTGTAACGAAGGAAAATGCAACGGTAGTAACAAACTAACTAACTAAGTAACTAACTAACCTCCGTCTCCGTTTCGAGCGGCGAGAGAGCCGGGGCTGCTGCGGCGGAGGGCGGATCCAACTTGACGTGGCTTGAGCGACGCCGTTCTGAGGTGGTTTGGGCGATCCAACTTGGTGCTTCCCCTTTGAGCTTGAGCGACGCCGTTTCGGTGAACGTTCGAAGCCATTGACACTGAATAGAAGAAGAAGGAGAAAGAAGAAGAAGAAGAAGGAATTGAGTGTGGAAATTCAAATGTGTTCCTTCAATTTTTTGTTTTGAAATATTTCATTTCATAATTCAAAGGCACGTAAAAATGATATTATAAAATAAAAATAAGTAAAAAAAAAAAAAGGTGTGAGCGAGTGAACGTGGCCATGACTCGCGAGAAACAAGGGACGAGGGACCATACAGGGGAGAAAGTGATAGAAAGAGAGAAATTTTTTTTTAATTATTTATTGATTGAAAATATGTATATCTTATAATTTCGAAATATTATTTAATTTATATTTTTAATACTTTTCCTGCACTTAAAAATACATGTTGTTCTGAGGTAAATATTAATGTTAAACGTTTCTATTGGTAATTGTATATACGGAACAAGCGAAAGAATAACTAGCAATGATGTTTTGGGCATTAGTTTGAAGGCTATAGCTATCGTATTAAGTTCTGCAAAACATTGAGATAAGTTATGAGATAATTCATTAGTTATAGAGAGTCATATATAAAAGCTTTAATTTTGTGCTTCCCCTGCACATTCAAATCAAGGGGCCGGAAGAAAGAGAAAAAGAGAAGAAAGTGAGGATAGAGGAGAGATGAGAGAAAAAATTATTATTTTTTCTCCAAATATTACCTTTTTAATGGAAGGATCGTCGTGGGCCGGAATTACTTTAAATTTTTCTCATATATACATGAAGTACTTTAGGATGTTGTGCACATTATGAGTAGTTTAGCAGGTGATTTAGTGGGATTATGTAATGCTTAATGTATAGTTATTTGCAGTGGACCAAAGTTAAAAGAAAAATGGTGAAATGAAATGTTTAGTGCGTGTCATGTGATGAGGGTAGGAAATAAGGACCATTAAATTGTTTTTTAACACATATAATGCATGAGATATTGGGAAATTATTATTGAAACAATATAGAATGATTTTTATTTTATTTGAGGTTATTCCTCACTTAGAATATGATATGATATTACGATTTATTTATTTATTTTGGAAAATGTTATTACGATATTTTAGTTTATCATATTTGAATATTATTTATATTAATACAGAAAGGAAATAAATAGAGATATCGACGGGTGGAAATCTCAAGTTTTTACATACATTACATCTCAGATTCTCAATAATGACTTGCAATAAATAATGAATTACCTACTGACGAGATAACTGGGGTTCACAACAAGTCATGCAGTTGTAACATAATTGTCATGATTAAATGCGTACAATGGTCAATAATCATTAACCAAATCAATAATTATTAGACAAATAAATTAGACATTTAATAAAAAAATAAAAAAAAAGGAGTGATATCGAGTGTGTGTAAAAAGGTGCATCTAATATTACTGTAATCCAAAGGTGTGTGTGTCTAGTGTCTACCATTACTCAGGTTCAAGGGTATGGGCTGTGTGTGCCTAAAGTGATTGTAGAGTTTACTATGGTCTCGTAAGCACCGACACGTTAAATTTTTGAAAATTTACGTGTCGGACATTGACACACTTTTTTTTTTTTTTTTGTAAATGGACATTGACACACTTTACCGACACGTTTCGACACTTGTTCGACATGCGGTTAACATTAGGGGTCATACGGTCAACGCTCCGACACGTTCCGACATACTTTTTCAACACGCAGTCAACGTTCCGACATATATCCGACACATTCTTTTTTTTAAAACTAAATTTTATTTTATTACCTAAACATGAAAAAATAATTTATAAATCAATTTTTCACTGTTATGAAATTTAACATGAAAAATTAACAAGGTACGAAAAATTATTTTTATTTATATTTATGTTGTAAAATTTGAATATTTGACTTATTATAAGCTGTTATAAGTATTAAATATGAATTATATTATATATTAAAAATATTATGTAATATCAAAACGTGTCTCCACATGTCAGAATATGATATTTTTTAAAATTAACATATCGACATGTCGTATCGTGTCTCGTATCTCGTGTCAATACATCATAGACTATGATTGGAAGTAAAAAGTGATGAGAGAGAGAGTGTGACTGTGAGTATCTATCTCTGTGTTTGCATGTGTGACTCGGATGGATTAGTTGGTAAGGAACTGAATGAGAAGCAGTAGAAGTGCCCTGAAAGAAAGGGAAGTCATAACATACCATCATCAGTCACCACTCAACTGACAAAATTGGTTGGTGTGTTGTTCTTGCCTTGAATCCAATATTCAATAGTATTAGACAACAGTATTGTACAGTGTGGTAAAATAATGTACAATTTTGTTACCCTTAACCTTAGTTAAAGATTTCAAGTTCGAATTACCAATAAAAAATCAAGTTCGAACAATAAGAATGGGAAAAAATGTCTTGAGTTTATGCTTTAAATTCAATAGTATTAATTAATAATTATTGATTCAGGTAATATAAAACGTATTTAATTTTGATTTTAAATCTCGAATTTAAGTCATGAAAATGGAAAAAAATAACTCTTGTATAAATTCAAGGATACTTGAATCAAACTAATTAAATTGATGATAAACAGGTTAAATAAAAATCTAATAATGAAGGAGAAAACTATTCATCTGTCACAAACTCAAAATTCAAGTAAGGTCTACACAATAATGGGGTGAAATTTTTTTTTTATGGTGGGACCATGTATTATTGTCTCTACATAAAGGAATAGTTTTCTCATGCAAGAAAATTAGTCCCCTAATATTAATGATACTTTTATATTGTTATCATTGTTTGATATTTTTAGTCACTATTCGATCTTCTCATTTACTTATTTTTATCGTATTTATAATATTTATCATTCTTTCACTATTTCTAAAACATGCTTTCTAAACTCAACCAAAAGAACACAACTTATTAAAATAATTAAATACATGGATTTAAAAAAAAAACTAGCCAACAAAACAACACAAACCTTCTTTTTTTTAGAACAAAACCACACAAAATTAGCCCAATTTAACCCTAAGCCCAAATAAAATTGAAAACAAGACAACGCTCTAAAGCCCATATGTTTAACTTTACCGTGCAACTCCATCAAAACAAAACAAATTAAGTCCAAACCCAATAAAAGCAAAACCAAATCTGATTGATAAATGCCCTAATTCAAATCAATACAAAAGAAGACAACAACAGGATTAGGGTATTCCATAAGTTACTCTTTATGACTTTTGAAAAATATATTAAAATAAACTTTTTATTACCCTTACTTTTTTTAAAAACAAAATTTATCTATTTATTATAAAATGTCTATACATGATTTTTAATTAAAAAAAAGAAAAAAAGTATCTAATGTTTAACATTTCTGTTTCGCCGCAATTTTTTTTTTCTTTGTCACACTTACATAAAAGTGAGTGGATCTCACTAACCTTTTCTCACTCTTAATAATGAGACTAATTCACTTTTATAGAGTGCGACAGAGATTAAATTTTTACAGCAAAAATAAAAATATTTTCCCTTAAAAATAATTAAAAAAACAAACGCAATATTCTTCAAACAATGCTTTTAAGACGATTGTTAAAAAAATTATATAATTTTTTAGGTTGCGTGTGAATTAACAGGAGCGCCATAAGTAACTGACCTGTTCAACACGTGAAGGAAGATGGTTTTAACAACACATTAGTGAATAAGATATTCCAATTATCATTTAAATTAAAGTTTTCATCGTAGACTATGAATGATTTTCTCGATTCCTTTTTGATAGATGAATTTATCGAGTTGATGTACATCAACTTGATAAATTCATCAACGTGTTGTCTATTATTTAAGTTATACTTTACAACTAACACGTTAATGATTAATCAATTTCTTTGAGCTATTGCCTGTTTGTTTAGAATTATTTAACATCAACGTGCGTTGGAAAAATGGAAGTCTTTCTTTTAATTCTTTCAATAAATGCTTTCAAGGTAGGAGTGTCAATATAGGTTTTGACACGCGGGTCGACCTGCGACACGACACGAAAATTCGTGTTCGGGTTGACCCGCAAAAAAATCTGTGTCGTGTTCGTATTGGGAAAAAATGACACGTAAAAAATTCGTGTCGTGTTCGTGTTTGATGTATTCGTGTTCGTGTCGACCCGTATTTTTTTTAAATTATTTTTTTTAAATTTTTTATTATTATTTTTTTAAATTTTTTTAATTTCGATCCATTTTTTTATTTTTATTTTTGTCAATTACCGTTTTGACCCTTATTTTGCGTGTTATTCGTGTCGTGTCGTGTCAACCTGTAAAAAATTCGTGTCGTGTCAGTGTTGAAGATTTTGACACAAATAAAAATTCGTGTCGTGTTAGTGTTAATGTATTCGTGTCGTGTCGAATTCGTGTCGTGTCAACCCGTTTTGACACCCCTATTTCAAGGTATGTGTAATCGTGGGCTTTACGGTAGAAGAAATATAAAATAAGAGTTTAGTGTTTGTCCTTTTAAAAGATATGGAGTTAGGTCATATTAAGTAAGAGAAAAACACAAGCAATGAAAATCATGAAAATAAAAAGTGAGTGGTTTTTATTAATTTAAATTTTAAATAAAAAATAAAAAATTGTACATTTCTCTCTCTCTTAAAATAACACAACTATATGTCCTTTATCAAAGAACAAACTTTTTTTCCATAAAATAAATATAACGTTTTCGTTGTTTATAAGTCAACGTGAGGTTGGCCAATCCCTTGTATGAGAAATTATTGTGTGCTTAGTGTTTGGTAGATTTATATTCATTTTTCATATTTTGATATTTTTATCTTCATTAATGATAAATCACTATTTAGTTTTTTCTTAGAAAATTACGATAGTAAATTTTTCTTCCATCATGTTATTATTTTCTTCCTAAAAGGGTGTGTCATACTAATGAATGAGCTGTTAATGAAGGGCAATTCTGATTATTAAAGCTGAATGCATATGAAATGTGCAAAAGAGGGGAACGCAGAGAATTTAAAGGGAACTAATATATTTTACCAAAAAAAGAAAAGGAACTAATATAGTTAAAATTTACATACAACTATTCTAATTCACTTGTTAAAAAAAATGAATAAATAAAATTAAAAATTGTTATATTAAATTTTTTAAAGATAATTAAGATTTTCATAAGTAGTTTATAATGCTTTTCAAAATTTTGAAGACATTCATGAATAAAATATAATTTGTTTAAGTTGCACTTTGAATTATTGATAAGAGCTGCCATCGATGACCGCATTATTAGCAAGGAGCCAAGGAGGAAGATGGTGTTTGTTGACATTAGCATTTTATTTAAAGTTTTCATTTAATTTGAATTCCTGTTTAAATTCCTTTTTTTGCATTCAAAAAAATTTTAATTAATGAGTTTGGTGTTTGTCATTTTAAATGACATAAGTTATATCATTTTTTTTTTTGATAACAAGTTATATCATTTTAGGAGAGAGATAGACCCAAAAAATGAAAAATCATGGGAGAGAGAAAGTGAATGATTTTTTCTAATTTAAATTTTAAATAAAAAAATTTATTTTGTATTTATCTCTCTTAAAATGACATAATTTTATGTCATTTAAAATGATAAATATTTTTCCCTTAATTAAATATCTCTCTCTGACCCACCTCACATTCCAGATTAGTCATAATCGGCTCAAATAATCTAAACTTGTGAGGATACTAGGGGAGCCATAATATTTTGATTAAGAATATTTTGATAAAAAAATTTAAAAGAAAATATTTATATAAAAAGCAACAATGTTCTCTGCAAATTTCCAATATAATAAAATAAAGTTGTACAAAAAAATAAAAATAAAAAGTATCCATGAAAATGGTCCGACACAAACAAATAGAAAAAAAAAATGTGTTAACAAAAACAAAACAAATTAAACAAATAACTTTTTAAGGTTGTTTGTTTTATTATTTATAACTACAATATGTTAACAGGATATAATATAAAATCATAGGCTCGTCGCATTCAAAAACTTTTGAGTTGAATTTGTTGCTTGTCATAATATTAGAGTTTCTGTGACCACCGAGTCATGAGTTCAATCATCAACGCTTTCAAATGTTTATATACAAATACGCACACTTCAGGTCCAAAGAATTCTCACGTGTGGATATATTAGAGAGATATAATATAAAATTATTGGAGAATATTGAAAGTCAATCCCTTATAAACTTAAATTTTTGGATTGAAATAGTTCTTTACATAAAATAAAAACAAAAAATAAAAATGCTTGTTTTTTGTTTTTCGATTTATTTATTGGTTTGTGTGTTAACAAATTTTCCAGGAATTAAAGCATAACTTAACGGGTAAATAAAACATAAATTAAAAACAATACATAATACCCCTCAAATTATTTATCTTATCTCCGTCCCATGAACACACCCTCAATACCCTTCTTTCTCCGTATACTCTATATATATATGCTGCTGCTGCTGCTTCTCCCAACTCATACTATAAACCTCCTCCACAAGCAACTGTGATAACCAAATTTTCACAGACCAATGAGCAATTCAGAGATGAAAAATAGGTAGGTTTGAATAATGAATTATGTACGTGTTGTTCCATATCAATTCATTCTCCTACAAAATTCTTTATATTATGCTTAATGTTATCATTCATATAAATAATTTTGTATATTATGTGTGTGTGTGTGTGTGTATATATATATATATTTATGTGTGCATTGTGTAGATCAGGTGAAAACATTTGGAATCTAAGCTCTATGGGTAGAATTGATTTTCTAACCTAACTTGTGACACAAGCATATGTAGCTTTAAACAATTAACATCTCTCTCTAATCTTCACTTAGAACTTTATATGTATTTGTTCTTCTTTGATCACTCACTTTGAGATTTAGTTTGGACATACAAGGCTTCTATTTCATGCAGATCTGTATCTTTGAACTGTGAAGCAGTTTTATAATTATTTATAATAAAATCTGCAACTGCATGTGCAAGTGCATATTCTATATATCTTTTAAGGAATATGCTAAAAATTATTGATGTATGAACAATATTTGCTTCAAGGTTCATGAATGATTTTTTGCTAACCAAATTTTTATAATAATGTTAGCAAAAACATCATAAGAATTTATATTTAAATTAAGCTTTATGGAAACTTGTTGATGGGAATTAAGTTTTATATGAACTACAGGACATTGATTGAGGACATAAGGAGTCTGAGATTGATAACTGGAGTTAACACTCCATACCTACCAAATGGCCAAATTGATCTTGAAGCATATGATAAATTGGTGAATATGCAGATTGAAAATGGTGTTCAAGGGATTCTTGTTGCTGGCACAACCGGTGAAGGCCAATTGATGAATTGGAATGATAAAATAATGCTTATTGGGCACACAGTTAACCTTTTTGGTGATAAAGTTAAGGTTATTGGTAATGCAGGAACAAATTGCACATCAGATGCAATTAAAGCCACAGAGAGAGGTTTTGCTGTTGGAATGCATGCTGCACTTCATATAAACCCTTACTATGGGAAAACCTCAATGGAAGGTTTAGTTGCTCATTATAATAGTGTGCTTTCAATAGGGCCTGTTATTATATATAACATACCTTCAAGAACTGCTCAAGATATTCCTCCTAGTGTGGTTGAAATCTTGGCTAAAAGTTCTAATTTGGTTGGTGTTAAAGAGTGTGTGGGGAATGAAAGGGTCAAAGAGTATTCAAGTGAAGGAATTGTTGTGTGGACTGCTAATGATGAAGAAAGCCATGATGCTAGATGGGATTTTGGGGCTGTTGGAGTTATGTCTGTTGCAAGCAATTTGATTCCTGGTTTAATGAGAGAACTCATGTTTGGAGGAAAGAATCCTACACTGAATTCAATGCTCATGCCTCTGTTTGATTGGCTTAACTTAGAGCCAAACCCAATTGCTTTGAACACTGGTCTTGCTCAACTTGGTGTTATTAGGCCAGTTTTTAGGCTACCACATGTGCCTCTTCCTGTGGAGAAAAGGATAGAGTTTGTGCATTTGGTGGAGGTAATGGGTAGAGAGAATTTTGTTGGTGATAAAGATGTTGAAGTTCTTGATGATGATGACTTTATCATTGTTGGTAGATATTGATTTTTAGATTACCTTCTTTAATTCTTATTTTGTGTTACTCTTACTACTGTTGGGTTTAATTTGTATCCTTTCTAAGGTTTGTCAAAGTTTGTATAAGAACCAAATCACGTACCATTGTATCGGTTCAAGTAAAGTGAATAAAAAAAGATTTGGTTTCTTTTCAGTCGATCACTTTTTGTAGCGGGACACTGGTTTTGGACTTTTTTTTTCTATATATATATATATATCTACCTTCATGGATTATACGAAGGATTTGAACTCAAAACCACTTATTAAAGAAAACAAACTCCTTAATTATCATATGAATTAATGCTTGTTGGTTGGTTTTATTAGACTTTTAGTTACAACATGTGTCTGAATATGCATTTTGTTTGACTTAAATATTAGCAAAAAAATTATCATGGACGCCAACAAAAACAAATATTAGTAAAGAAGTGATCATAAGCTTATTTTTGCCCTTGGTTCTTGTCTGATTTTTTTTTTTAGATGTTTGGTCATGTTTTTGGGGTAATTATTTATTAGGTTATATGTTAGTGGTTACAAAATTGTTGTTGAAATTGAGAATGGTTTAAAAAATTATTTCTGAGATCATATTAAAACCCAATCAATATTATCACGGTAGGAGAATGCTATAATTTAAGGTTGGGCTTCCATTAATTAGTATATATATTTGGTTTTATAAAATGATTTAAATAACCAATATATTTTCCTAAAAGTTCATATTATTTGTATGGATTTGGGAATAAATACCATATATCAATATATGATCATTAGGTTTAAACCCAACAAGTACACTCAGTTATGGTATAATTAACTATAAGGTCATGTAACTTAAGGTCCATTATGGATTTAATGTTGTTATAAGGTCAGGATTTCCACTTGACACTTCTGGATAAGCTTTTTTTTCCCATCGACATCTCTCTTCAAAGAGAAAGAGTAAGAAGGAAATATCCTATTATTGGAAGGAACATATGTATACGATTTTATTTTTTTTATATACCGACCTTAATTATCTATTTGAGGTAATTAAGTTGGCCCTTCAGATATCTTCGTGAGTTTTAATTTTTTGAGTCGACTCTAAGACTAATAATATCAAGTTAGGATTTAGTCACAGTTGAAATTTTTTTATCCCTCTTCAAATATGTACACGAAATCTTTTAAAGATTTTGAAAGTAATAAGTGATCACTAACATGTCTCCAAGGTATGTAATTATTTATAATTTATGATGTGTTCTAAATTCTAATATTGGCATGCCTTAGTATGTGTTATTAATTTATTTATTTTTATACATTATGTGTTATTAATTCTAATCCTTGGTATAACTCTATTTCTTTCTTTTATTTATATTTTCATTTATGTCTCAAAAAAAATTTCAATACATTTCAAAAAAAGATGTACTCACTCGATTATATATTCTCGTGCACTAAAATTTTGTTTCACCTGCGATTGCCCGGATCTAACTATGCCTCACAACCCTATACGCTAGTTCGGTAGCCATAAGCCAATTAACGTCGCGGTTGATGCTACCCCTCTTCTATGCAGTTTATGCTCCTGTAATAAGTATGGGGGAGCTGAAACCTAGGTCTATTTGATCAGTTTAATTATACTTAAATAGAGAATCCTTAGCAGCATTCATTGTTTTTTTCTGCTATGTGGGAGCTGAAACCTAGGTCTATTTGATCAATTTAATTATAATTAAATAGAGAATCCTTAGCAGCATTCATTGTTTTTTTCTGCTCCATACTATGGTGCATGACATGAGTTGCTTAGAATGATGCCACGGTTTACGTGGGTTCCGAAGCCATGACCAAATTGAAAAATATATGGAGTTTGGAGTCCGTTATCTGATAGTTGCAAATTCATATTCGTAGTCACGATCACACAAATCATTAATATGAAAATGCACATTATGAAGCAATTAGATTTGGTCAAATTAATGGTGAGGAATTTAAGTATTTTATATTAGGTGATGTGTTCAATTGTTCAATTGTCCTTTATATATAAAATAAGGGTTTTGTTTTTCTACTCATGTAGCCGAAGATGACCAAATTTTCCTGCACATAGAAGTAAGCTGGGTCCCACTAGTTTTTGTGAAAAAAATAAATAAAAAAGATTAGGCACGCTTTACGAACTGAGAGTGACATAAGTTAAACAAATTACTACAACAGAAGAATACATTTTGCCATAAAATAAAAATAAAAATTGAACATTATGTAATGGCCAAGACTGATAAATTCCATTTAAAGATTGTTTGATCGCTAAGATGTACGTTCAAGAAGGAATAATTGCTCACCCGGGATTTTATACATTGGCATATTATATAAAGGTAAAGATAATAATGTCTTTTTTCCCGAGTAATTTATTATATAGAAAAAAATTATCTCATACATATACATATTAAATGAGAGAGAATAAAAAATAAAGAAAAAAAAAACATATAATAAGTCCCATCTCTAATTTGTGTGTGCATAATTTTTTTTTTCTTAGAAGATATTTTCCCTTTATTATAACAATGTCCTTTGATTCTCTCTCATCTCAAACTTTAGTCTTGCTTTGTTTTTAGCTATCTTTTATATATCTTATCTTAATGTCATATCTAATAATTACACTTTTTATATAATAAAAATTTCGTCGCGACTTTCTTTGAAATCAACTACTCTATGTAAATTGTGTTTCAGGATCATGTTACTTTCTCTCTCTTTTTTTAATTCATTTTATGCTTGAAATCTCACATTCGTATGCCTAGTTATACTATGATAACATATGGGGTTTAAAACATTTTTGTGTCTGATCATATATAACAAGAAAAAATATTGTCGGGTTGGGTAACTCCAAAAAAAAGAAAAAATATTGTCATTTTAAAAAATATAAAATTATGTCATTTTAAGTGAAAAAAAAATAAATTATAAAAAAGAGAGTGAGAGAAAAAAGTTTTAAAGATATAAATTTTATTTCTTTGTAAGAATAAAAGGACATAAAATATATCATTTAAAATAACACATTTTTTTCCATATAGCAATTACGTAATTGATAATTGAGTATACTCAAACATGTACTCAAAATCCATCCTGAAAGATCACATCAATATATATCAATCTTACTTGAAGTTATTATTAATCTGAGCATTCAAACATAATTTAGGGTTAATAGAGATATAGATCTTTTCCTATAAAAAAGTGAGTATATAGTTATATTATTTGATCATAATTATTTATTTTCACTTATTGCTAATGAGATAAGAAAAAGAAAAATATATAATTTTTAAATGAATTATTGTGATCAGATAATATTGTCGTATGATATTTTTTTATATAAAAAAACCAAAATCCCGATTAATAATGCTCAATAATAGGAAAATATTATATTAATTTATGATAATGACATAAAAAGTTGGGTCCTCTGTGCAATTACAGTGGCCGACCGCCAGCATTTCATTTGTTGTCACAGCGTATCCGTGATTGCCCATAGTAGGTCCCCAGCATCTGTGGTTACTCTATGATTAAGAAGTTTTTTATAATAATAATCATGTTTAGAAATTTATTTTAAAAAATGATTTTGAAAAATGTGACTCATCAAATAACAACCAAACTAAAATAAATAGCTTAATCTTTATTTTATTATTTTTATATACTAGTTTTTATTTGCAAAAGTTAAAGTAAATTTGGGCAAAGTTTAGTCAACAATAAGAATCCGAGGTAATTTACCATATATTTTTTAGAAAAATGTGTGTCATTTTAAAGAACATAAAGTTAAATTCTTTTAAAATAGAGATAAACATAAAAAGATGTGAGTCTCACCTTTATTGTTTCATCTTTATTTTTTGAGATAGAATATTGTTACTGCCAATTAGTGGTACAATCAATATCACTATCAGTTTGTTTCACAGTTAGATCGATTATGTTGATCCAACAACGGTTATATTTATTTTTACATTTATGATTTCTCATATTTATTGTGAAATTATTAAATATGAGAAATCATAACCATACAAAGGTGAAAATAAATATAAAGTATTAAATATATGGAGAAGAAAGAAGATTTTTATAAAGTTAAATTAGAACCGTTAAATCAACATAATCCATCAAATGAAACAGTGACCAAAATGTCACAGTTCCAAAAATTAAACACCTAAATGCCATGCAAACCGTACAAATTTCCAATATGCCACACTGTGTAATTCATTGATGTGGCACGTTTTTTATAGCCACCTAATTCGCTACTACCCGTAGCAAATTAGGTGCTTAAAATGTCTGTCTGCTCTGAGTAAAAGTATGACATGTGGCAAAGCATTGAGTAATTCGCTAGCATACCTAGGGAATTATATCCAGAGAGAGAAACTAAAAAGTTAAAAGTACTTCTAAGAAAGGGTTATACATGTATAATGTTACATGAAAAACACTATTTGGTCCTACACAAACATAAAAGAAAAGAGAGAAAATGAGTTGAGGAAAGAGAAAATAAAAAATTGTGGACCCCATGTCTGTTTGTTTATGTAGGAAAAGAAGCTTTCATCATGTTACATAATAGATACATTTCCCTTTAAGAAATATGGGAAAGTGAGGAATACATGCAAAGTGTATTAAGATTGTAGCATTGATTGTGTCTCATATTGGTCTTCTACTTTTAGGGGACGTTTGGTATATGAGAATTTTTTTTTTAATCAAGTAAATGTAATTACTAGAAAAATGGTAGGAAAGTTTAAAAGAAGTTGTTTGGTTGACCAAAATATTACTGGAAAAATTAAGTTAAATTATATGAGTCCATGTTTGGTTGAAAGTAAAATATTGATGGGGAAATTGGTATTAATGACCAGAATAACCTTTATTTAAATTTTGCTAAAGTTACAAAACGCTTTCCCACTGTTCATCCACTTTTTGTTAATGACAAGAGATGATGGGGTAGTTGTGTGTGTACTTTTTGGGGTAGTTTTGTCATAATAATCGTTCACTTTTTGCCATTTACTTATGCTTGTTGAAATACCATGCTCAGATTGGTCAAGTGGCACAGTGATTTTTCTGCTTTTTTGCACATGTTTTACAATAGCTAGGCAACTGTGAAAGATGGGTATATTTTTGCTTCTCTTCTACCAAACGAAGAAAACTTAATATCCCACTCATAGATTACTGAGAAACCTGACAAAAATCCTGAACCAAACAGCCCCTTAAGAAAACATACGTGTACTTTTATCTCTCTCTGGACATAGTTCGCTAGGTATGCCAGCGAATTACTCTGTGATTGTCATGTCCTACTTTTACTTTGAGTAGACTAACATTTTGACCATATAATTCGCTATTACCAGTAGCAAATTAGGTGGCCATAAAAAACGTGCCACATCAGCGAACATAGTTCAACTACAGTGGGTAGCAAATTATGCCGCATGGCATATTGAAAATTTATACTATTCGCGTGGTATTTTGATGTTTAATTTGGAGAACAGTGTCATTTTAATCACTGTTGTTTTCCATCTAATAGTAAAACAAACTGGTAGTAGTATTGATAGTAACACTAATTGACAGTAATAATATTCAATCTCTTAATTTTTTAATAAGACTCGTATGTTTTTATGTCTATTTTTTTTTTTTTTTTGAATCTCTTTAAAAAATCTAAGTTTCTGTCTTTTAAAGAAACACGTGCTTTTCCCATATCTTTTATATTACTATTTATTACATTAGCCTTTTTTTATTTAAATTTTTATTAAATAAATCAAATAATAAATGGATATATACCCCTCACAATGATCCTCTCTATGACCTCTCGCATCATCACATCTTGAGGACACTACTCTCTCTCTTTCTTCCCGAACTCTACTCAACTCGCTCCAATCCAAATCGTTTTTCGGAGCTTCAATCGGGTCTGATCTTGGACTCAGTCGGGTTCGGTTTTTGATTCGGTTTGTTCGGAACTGCGTTCAGTGATGGCCATGTGGAATAGCCATAGTTGTGACGTGTTGTTGAGAGGTTTCGGCTCCCGTGGTTGTCGCTCCTTTACCAGCAATGTCAACCAGAGGTTAATTACGTTGTTTTTGGTTTTTACTTTTTTTTTTCCCTAGTAAATTAAACAAATAAATCGCCTAGTTTATTTAATCCGTTGTTTATTTTATTTGCTGGTTTTTTTGTTTTTGACAGTGATTTATTGATATATTACCATATAATAAGTTTCAAATGACCGGTGTATCATGATCGCACTAGTTGGCCTGGATATATAAAAAAAAATATAAATATAAATATGTAAATTTAATTATATTTTTTAGATCTAAAATAAGTTAAACAAGATTTATTAAATAAGCCTAAAAATTATTGAATCACACTTTTACAAGTTCATAAAGCACAAATAAATAAAAATGCAGGCTATTATTATGTTAATTTAAATTGTAACTCAGAATCACCATAAGCATACCTTTCAATGACATTCAAAAGGCTAGATGTTTTGAATTCATATTTTTCAAATTCATTTACATTGAAATAACATATGTCATATTCTCTTAATTTATTGTTTCGCAAATTGCTTCAGTATTAGAAGCTGAAATTTGAGGTCATTGTAAAAGAATATACTACTAGCAAATAAAATTACAAAAAAATTTAAAATGAGTTCTACATTTTTTTTCTAACAAGATGAAACAATTTCTATTTCTATTATATTTTATTTTTAAAAAAATGAATGACCCTATCGGGTCACCGATTTTGACCGGGTTTGATCAGGTTTTGGGTCGCGCCAGAGTTTCATAACACTGGTTTATATATATATATATATATATATATATATATATATATATATATATATATATCAGAAAAATATTTATGCAGTTATTGCAGATAAGTTTTCTGCAGTTACTGAAGATAAGCTATCTGCATTTACTCAAAAAAGAAGTCGTTTCAGGATTAAAATATTATAATTATAAAGACTATAATAACCATGAAATAAATTAAAATTACAAAAACACTATGATTTCCGCTCCAAAACGATGTCGTATTACTTCTCCTTTCACATGAGAAGGCCACTTTCTTCGATTTTCGCACCAACCATTTTTTATTTTTTCTTTTTCTTTTCCAAGGTGGACTCCACCTCTCTAGGGGTGTAAATGAGTTAGGCCGGCTTATAAGGGCCTACGATCTAACCTAAACCCTAACCTATATTAGGTCAGACTTGGCCTATGACAAATAGTAAAATAGAACATATCTAGGCTTTTAAAAAAATCTATTTAGAAAACAAGCCATAGGTTTTTTAGTACATATCGGACCTATAAGCCTACAGGCAAGCCTTTATCATATTATTTATTTTAAATAAAATAATTAAAATTATTATTTCAATAATTTTGAATAATAAAGTATTATTATCTTTGGGATTGAAAGGTTAAAAATTAAAATGATAAAAGCTATTATAACCATGAAATTAATTAAAATAGCAAAAATATCTTAATTTCAGTCTCAAAACGATGTTATTCTGGGCTCATTGCAGATAATTTATCTACAATCACTACATAAAAAAGAACCCATATATATATATATATATATATATATATATATATATATATGTATGAGTTTGGTGTTTGTCCTCTTAAAGGACATATAATTGATTCTTTTAAGTGAAAGAAAAAGATACACAATGGAAAGTGTGTGTTTTTTTATATAAATTTTAAATGAAAAATACTAGTTTTAATTAAAATGACCATCATTTAAAAGGATAAATATTTTTTCATATATATATATATATAGAAAAAATGTTTATCCTTTTAAATGACATAATTTATATCCTTTCACTCTCACAAAGAGATGAGACCCACACCTTTATTTTTTTTTTGTCAACTCTCTCTCCTCCTTTATCTATCTCTTTCTCTCTCTTAAAATAACACAATTTTATATCCTTTAAAATGATAGATATTATTTCATATATATATATATATATATATATATATATATACGCCAAAAATTGTGTCGTTTTGATTAATGAAAGGTATTTTTGTAATTTAAGGTGAATTAATGAATCGTGTTTCCGTAATTTTGTTTATTTTTTTATCATATACATTTTACTGAAACACCCTTCATTAATCACCTAAAATTACATAAACACTCTTTATTAATTAAAACGACGTAGTTTAGGGTAGTTGTAGATAACCTTATCTAAAGTGGCAGTAAAAATATGGTTCCGTAAACTGTTTTTTTTTTTTTTTTAGATAACCTTACCAAATTACGTAGTTTTTTGTATTAGTTGCGTATCCTAATCGTTTTAATATTTCTTTGTATGACCCAGGAATTCATTTTGGAAGCCTCCACAAGCAGCTATGATACCCAATTTTCAACGCCCAATGAGCACCTCAGAGGTGAAAACAAGGTGGGTTTTCCACATCGATTAAAAAAAAGTGCTTAAAAAAGTTATTTGATAATTACAAAAAAAATTTAGTTTAAAAGTTATTAAAAATACACATTTCAATAAAATTATCTCTTTTTAGTTTATCGCTTTTTATTTAAAAAAAATCCACACAATTCAAGAAAAACAGATAATAGCTTAAAATAATATATAGTAGCTTTTAGCTCTTAACTTTTTTTTTTATTATAAAAAATAGTTTTTCACAAAATCTGTTTGACCTAGCTTATACTTATACATAATTTCTAGCTTAAAAAACGAGAGGATTTAATCAGGCATTAGTTCGGAACATTTTGAATCTATGCGCTGGGTAGAATTTCTGGAAGCTAAGTCTAAGGAATTGATTTTGCAATCTAACTTGTGACACAAGCATCTCAACCTAATCTTCACATAGAACTTAATATGTATTTGTTTTCCCCCTTTATCATTCACTTTGAGATTTAGTTTGGACATCCAAGGCTTATATTTCATCTGCGAAGCAGTATTATAGTGATTTATGTCATAAAAGTCTGCAACTGTGCCAATCTATATTCTAATTTTTTCAAGAATGTGCTAAAATATATTTATGTATACAGTGGCGGAGCCGGGCTCAAATTTAAGTTTGGGTCAAAAAATTATACGTGTATTTTTTTTTAAATTTTAATTAGTTTATATCATAATATATTTAAATAGAGAAAAGATCCGTTTACAAATATCTTTTAAATTTTTTTGCAAATTATACTATATACTTCCGAAAAACATAGTATAACTATTCTGGAAGTACATAGTATAGTTTGTAAACAAAAAATTTGTAAATATAACTCTCTCTATTTAAATTATATTAAATACAGAGCACTTGAGCAGGCAGTACCAAGAAGAATTATAATTTTATTAATTTTTTTTATACAAGTAAAAATTAAACACATAACCTAATACAACTTATCCAAATCTCTTACCAAAAATATTTTAAGTTTTAGATAGGGCCAAATTATAAATTGTAGCCAGGGCCAAATTATAATTTTAAACCAGACTAAATTATAATTAATTATATAATTATATATAATAAGTATAATTTGTTAAAATTTAACCCGGTCAAAGCCACACTCAGAAGGTACGTGGCTCCGCCACTGTATGTATATAAGGTATGCTTCTAGCTTCATGACTGCTTTTTTGTGTGACTGGTTTTAGTTTACAAATCTGAAATTGTTAACCAATTTTTTACAATTATGTTTGCAAACCTTGGCACAACGGTTGGTGTTGTTGCCAAGTGATGGAGAGGTCACATGTTTGATACATGTAATCAGCCTCTTCCTCTTGCAAACGCAAGGTACTATTGCATATTATAAACCTTACCGGACCCTGCATAGAGTGAGAGTTTTATAGCATCAAGTTGTGTTATTTTTTTATTTTTTAATATTTGCAAATAGGGAGAGTTATATTTACAAATTTTTACAAACTACACTATATTCAAGAATACTAGATTATACTATGTTTCGAGAATACTAGGTTACACTATGTTCTCCCAGAAGTACATAATGTAATTTGCAAAAATTTATAAAAAATTTTTGTAAACGGATCCTTCTCTTGCAAACATCATAAAAATATGTAAAAATTAAGGTTTGTGGAAACTTGTTCCTGGCAATTAAGTTTTATATGTACTGTATTTACAGGACATCGATGGAGGAAATAAGGAGTCTGAGGTTGCTAACTGGAGTTAAAACTCCATACCTACCCAATGGCCAATTTGATCTTGAAGCATATGATAACTTGGTGAATATGCAGATTGTAAATGGTGCTGATGGTATTGTTGTTGCTGGCTCAACTGGGGAAGGCCATTTAATGACCTGGAACGATCAAATAATGCTCATTGCACACACAGTCAATTCTTTTGGTGATAAAGTTAAGATCGTTGGCAACGCCGGTAGCAACTGCACAGCAGAAGCAGTTAAAGGCACTGAGCAAGGTTTTGCTGTAGGAATGCATGCTGCTCTTCACATAAACCCTTACTATGGAAAAACCTCCTTGGATGGTTTGGTTGCTCACTATAACAGTGTGCTTTCCATAGGGCCTGTCATGATATATAATATACCTTCACGGACAACTCAAGATATTCCTCCTAGTGTAGTGAAAATCTTGGCAGAAAGTCCTAACTTTATTGGTGTCAAGGAGTGTGCAGGAAATGAAAGGATCAAACATTATACAGATGAAGGATTTGTTGTGTGGAGTGCTAATGATGATGAATGCCATGATGCTAGATGGGATTGTGGGGCTGTTGGAGTTCAATCTGTTGCTAGCAATTTGATTCCTGGCTTAATGAGAGAACTCATGTTTGGAGGAAAGAATCCTACACTGAATTCAAAGGTCATGCCTTTTTTTGACTGGCTTTTCTCAGAGCCAAACCCAATTGGTTTGAACACTGCTCTTGCTCAACTTGGTGTGATTAGGCCAGTTTTCAGGCTACCATATTTTCCTCTCCGTGTCGAAAAAAGGATAGAGTTTGTCAAGTTGGTGAAGGAGATGGGTAGAGAGCATTTTGTTGGAGAAAAAGATGTTCAAGTTCTTGATAACGATGACTTTATCATTGTTGATCGATATTAAGTTACTGTTTCTGTTGGGCTATGTTTCCTTTTCAAAGGTAGCTTCCAAATGACCCAGCATAGCTCCTGTTCAAGTAAGCTCACTACAAGATATGGTTTCCTTTTAGTCACTGTTTAATTATAGTGGGAACTTGGTTCAAATCAGTTCCAACGTATATCTATCTGGTAATGCATTTTGTTGGAAACTTTGTTTTGGTATTGGCAAAAATTTATTACCCGCACAAATAAAAGATGTGTAACCTTGATTCTTAATAAATTTGGTGTAATCTTAATTTTAATTCCCAAAATGATGTAATTTGGACAAAGTCATGGGTTTCATTCGCCACTATGTAGTAAGATTATTTTTATTTTAAAAATAGTTATGGACATTAAACATGACCTAAACACGGATTAATTCTTAAGAAGTTATATGCATGAGATACGATTTAGTATTTTTTTTTTAATTATATAACAAATCGTATATATGGGCCAGGACTTGCACTAATGTAATTATTAAACAATTATAACAATTGCTGACTAGGACTCTTATGTCACTTATCTCTCTTTAAAAAAAATTATAATTATCTCTTCTCCTCACATTTTATTACAACCTTACTTGTGCTAAAAATATAGTTCAAATATGTACCTTAATATTCTCACCAATATAATAGGACAAAGTTATAAAAAAAAAAAAAAAAAAAACTCTCAAAACCGTCAACGCTTGTTCTTTTTCTCCTTCTTCCAACTCATTCGAAGCGAAATCGTGTTCCTGAGCTTCAATCGGGTCGGATCTTGGGCTCAGTGTAGGGTTCGGAGTTTGATTCGATAATTGATGAGAGTGATTGATTGCCATGTTGAAGAGCTATTGTAGTAACGTGTTGTTGAGACGACCCGGTTTACCGTTTTTTCGCTCCATCGCCAGCAATTGCAACAAGAGGTTAAATCTGATGTTGTTGCTGTGTTTTTTTTTTTTCTAAATTAGATAATTAAGCGCTTTGTTTATTTAATTTAATTTTTTTTCTGATTTTCTGTTGTCGTATTTTGTGTCTTGGGTTTGTTTCTCATGTTTTTAGTATTTTGTGTTATGCTGTGTGTGTGCTTTTAGTTGTGATTTATTGATATGTTAATAATGGTTTCTATTCTAGGTTGTGTGTGTATGTGTCTGTGTGTGGGTGTGTGTGTGTTTTTTCTAGTACAAATTAGTCCATGTATAAGACAAAGTTTGTTGGTAAGTTGTTTAGTTTGTTACTAAATGAAACAGACTGCTACTTCATCACTCCCTTTAAAACTTGCTGTCTTCTTTAAATGTTTTTGTTAGTTAGAACATTATGAAAATTATATTTATATTATATTTTAACACTTTATCGTTTATGAAATATGTATTTTTTTATATTTTCATGTGACATCCTCTCGTACCTATGCTTTAATTATGTATTTTTCTGCAGTTATTATTCATGATATAAATTGGAGGTTCTTAAAATGGTGAATTTGTTCATCGAAAATGCCATTGTTTAAATTAAAGCCATATGAGAAAATAACTGATGATAATGAGGAGGCAAGTGTGTTTAGAAAATATAGGATTGTCATAAACTAGGAGTCTCTTTCCTTCCTCTTAACCTGTCCATGATTTCCTTTGAATTTTGTCTGTTACAATATGCAAACGTAGTTAAACCTCTTAGTTGAATTTTATTTGCCTTTTTGGTTGTAATATAGTTCTGTCAGTGTCCCTTGTGTAATTAAATTTATATATTTGAGCAGGGATGGAAAAATAAAAAATTTAGGAAGGGAGGGCACAAGTTATACTTCAAAAAAAGGGGTAAAAGTTGAATTTGAATTATTTTTTGGACAATTGTGTTAAATCCTTGGTAGGGAGAGCTTTGCTGCCTATGTAGTTCTTCCCGACTTGAATTGAATTAATCGAATAATCGATGAACTGATAGATAATATACAAAAAGAATTAAATTTGGACAGCAGGTTTCACTTTCAGAAGTCTAAGATCAGTGATTGGTGCAAATTGCACAGAAGAAAGATGCCAAATCTTGTAGCCATTAATCCAAATTTTGGTTAGTTTAATCATTTTGAATATTTCTTTGTATGACCCAGGAATTCATACTGGAAGCCTCCACTATCAGCTGTGGTACCAAAGTTTTGCCTCTCAATGAGCAGCTCAGCGGTTCAAAATAGGTCGATTTGAATAATGAGTGTGCTATTCCATATTGATTCATTCTCCTATAGAATTCTATATTTTCCATTTTGTTATCATTCCAATAAGTTATTTTGTATATTATGTGTATTTATATGTGCATCGAGTAGATGGGTCGGAACATTTGGAATCTATGCTCTGGGTAGAATTTCTGGGAGAGTCAGGAAGTTGATTTTCTTATCTAACTTGTGACACAAGCATCTAGAGCATTGAACAATATCTCTCTCTAATCTTCATTTAGAACTTATAATTTCCTTCATCATCCACTCTGAGATTCAGTTTGGATATTCAAGGCTTATATTTCAGCTAGATCTGTATCTGTGAAGCAGTTTTGTAGTGATTTATATTATAAAATCTGCAACTGTGCAAGTTTATATTTTAATTTTTAAGGAATGTGCTAAAAAATATGGATGTATATATAGTATGCTTCTAGATTCATGTCTTCTTTTTTTGTTTGACTGGTTTTTGTTATAAAATTTGAACTTGTTAACCAGATTTTTACAATTATGTATGCAAACATCATGAGAGACTTAAGATTTGTGGAAACTTGTTCATGGAAATTAAGTTTCATTTGTACTGTATTTACAGGACATCCATTGAGGACTTAAGGAGTCTGAGATTCATAACTGCAGTTAAAACTCCTTACCTACCTAATGGCCAAATTGATCTTGAAGCATATGATAACTTGGTGAATATGCAGATTGTAAATGGAGTTGAAGGTATTCTTGTTGCTGGTTCAACTGGTGAAGGCCAATTAATGACCTGGGAGGAACAAATAATGCTGATTGCTCACACAGTCAACTCTTTTGGTGATAAAGTCAAGGTTGTGGGTAACGCCGGTAGCAACTGCACATCGGAAGCAATTAAAGCCACCGAGCGGGGTTTTGCTGTTGGAATGCATGCTGCCCTTCATATAAGCCCTTACTATGGAAAAACCTCATTGGATGGTTTGGTTGCTCACTATAACAGTGTGCTTTCCATAGGGCCTGTGATAATATATAATAATCCTTCACGGACTGCTCAAGATATTCCTCCTAGTGTAATTGCAATCTTGGCTAAAAGTCCTAACTTGGTTGGTGTCAAGGAGTGTGTGGGAAATGACAGGATCAAACAATATACAAGTGAAGGAATTGTTGTGTGGACTGGAAATGATAAAGCATGCCACGATGCTAGATGGGATTGTGGGGCTGTTGGAGTTCAATCTGTTGCTAGCAACCTGATTCCTGGTTTAATACGACAACTCATGTTTGGGAGTAAGAATCCTACACTGAATTCAAATCTCGTGCCTCTATTTGACTGGCTTTCTCTAGAGCCAAACCCAATTCCTTTGAACACAGCCCTTGCTCAACTTGGTGTTATTAGGCCAGTTTTCAGGCTTCCACATGTACCTCTCCGTGTGGAAAAAAGGATAGAGTTTGTCAATTTGGTGAAGGAAATGGGTAGAGAGCTTTTTGTTGGAGAAAAAGATGTTCAAGTTCTTGATGATGACGACTTTATCACAGTTGGTCGATATTAATTTAGATTACGTTTTACAATTCTTATACGGGGAATGTCATATTTACAAACTTTTTGTTTACAAACTACACTAAGTATAACCGGTCATACTTCAATCAAGAGTGTATAACTGGTCATACTTAGTGCAATTTATAAAAAAAGTTTGTAAATAGATCTTTCTCCTTCTTATCGTATGTTACTCTTTCTGTTGGGTTTTGTATCCTTTCTGCCAAAGTTCAAAAACCAGATCAGGTACCATAGCCACAGTGCAAGTGGACTCATTAAAACAAGATTTGGATTCTTTTCAGCCACTTTTTGTGGCTGGAAACTGATTCAAGTTAGTTCCAACTTATGTCATGTATAATAAGTGCTGGATCTCATTTATAACTTTCTAGTAGTTTTTTTTTTTTTTTTTTCCAGTTAAGTAGTGGGCATCAAACACTATTTATACATTAGTTTAATTTATGTCAAGTTCTATGAATTGCTAAGTCGAATGGATGGACCATGACTTGCACGAATGCAATTAAGCAATGTACTTAATACACTTTATAAAATATGTGTATTCAATTGAAAAGGTTATAAACATAATAATATTGTAAGATTTGTGATTATAAAAGACATTGTCCCATAACTTTATTTACCTTTCTTATATTAAATTTTACCCAAAAATGTAAAAGGAAAGACATGACTAATAATATAGTCATCTCTACACATATTATCAAGAAAACTAACAGGAATTGACAAATTAAAACTAATTAACATTGCTCATTGCTATAATATTCCTTGTAATGGTTTACAATTAAACACTTGAACTTATTGCAAGAAATTAATTTAACCTCAAACTAAGAAACAACACTAACAACATAACCTTTATCCCATATTAATTGGCGATGAACCCATAAAAAATAAGAACAAGAAAAAAAAATACATATAATAAAAATAAATTAAAAGACAGTTTAATAATAACAGACACTAACTTTTCCTACTGTTGGCCTTAACAAATAAACTGTATTAGCTAAAAGCTAGAGATTGGTTTTGTTCTTATTTTGTTCAGAAAGCTTTTTTTGAAGCTGAGATCTGTATTAGCTAAAAGCTAGAGATTGGTTTTGTTCTTATTTTGTTCAGAAAGCTTTTTTTGAAGCTGAGATAAGAGGGCCTGATTCTCTTTGTAAAGAAGCAGTGCTTGCTTCCTCAACTTCTCATTCTCCTCTATGATGCTTTTGTTCTCTACGCACAATTTCAAGTTTCTCATCTCAATCTCTGCCTTCACCACAATCATCCTTTCCCTCCGTATTGCTTCTTGAAATTTTGCTCTCCTTCTGTATGGAATATATATCATCAAATTACAAGGATCAATATCACACGCACAAAACAATGGATTTGATTTTGTTGCACTCCAAGTATATACGACTTTTTTACACTATCATTTAATCATGTATAGTCAAAATTATTAGAGAAGTTAAATTATCACTATCATTTTGTTGCACTTACAAAGTGTAATTGTTAGATAAATATAATATAAAATATTATTGTAGCCTTACCTAACAGCTTAAATTTTTGAATCAAAAGGATTCTTTACACTATAAAGTCTTTGTGGTCAAGTGATCACGAGTTTGATCCTCATCACTCCTCTTTCTATTAAAAAAATAATTAAATATTATAGGGTTTCTTAATATATGTTTACAGGGCCATAGCCCATAAGCATTGTCCAGTGACCTTACATATAGAGGATATTTAAAAGAAATATAATATAAAATCATTAATATAACATTCCCCAATTCTTTAAATGATGTGGGGGGACTCGTGAATTCATGACTTTTTCATTTATATGATATCATTCTTAATTAAGGTAAAACTTTATCATTAACACTTAAAATGTGAACTTCAAACGAGAATATGGCCATACAAGCCAAAAGAGACAACCAAAAAGAAAGATATGGTTGAAACTAGAGAAGTACCTATTGAGGAGGCTCAACCGAAGGTGCCGCTGCTTTCTTTTGGATGGACATCGACGATGAAGGGCAAAAACAAGAGGAGCATATGATGTCTTTTTTGAGGTAAAAGACTGCATACCGTAATTCTCTCTAAAACTTTGGGTCTCTTAAGAGAAAGGACTACAAGCTTGAGATAATATAAGGTTTATATTTGAAAATGGGAAATCAAGTAATGAAAGTGAGGTGTTACCCTTGAGCTTCAAGGAGTTTATATAACCATATAGGTGAGAAACTTGATAAGAAACTACAAGGGAAAGAAAAGTGACATATAGCTATGATTTTGTGTTTGAGAGAGAGAGAGAGTGAGAGAGACTTTTCATAGCAATGATGGCACAAGGACTCATGAAGTCATGATTACAAATGGGAGCAGGGTAAAGAAAAATGCTTCTCTTCTTTCTTGGCCTTTTTGATAACTAGGGTGGTGGGTAACGTAGAGATGAGGGCACAAAGAAAGAACTCCACTCCACACTACACTTGAAGTTGAGTTACACTTTTTTCAAATTTTAGAACTTTCTCCTTTAAGTTTCAAGACCGTTTAGGTCCTCACTATTACCATGGGGTCTTCAAGCTTGAAAGAGGAAATAGTTATAAAGCCACGTGCTTCGGTGAATAAATTGTTATGATAGTTATAGCATATATAAGACAATTTTAACATGATATTCCATGTGGCCAACCTGCATTTACTCATGTTCATTTAGAGTGGGCCATTGCATGGTTAGTTGTAGTTTCAAGAGTTATTGCTACACCAGTTTCTCCTTGCCTACTGTCTTCAGGTAGTTCCAAGCAGTAGATCGAAGTGCACTTGATAAGCACTTGATAAGCACTTGATAAGAAGAGTTTTGCATCTCTTGACCTATAAAGCACCGACACTTCAAAAATCCTGACGTGTCGTGTCCGACACTTCTTGACACTCACCGACACTCCAATACTCGTTGCAAAGACTCAAAAAAGGTTTAAAGGTTACGTTGCGTGTATTTTAAGTTCTAACTATTAGATTCGTTAGATTACGATTACGATTTTATTGAGTTTAATATAAACATTTAGGATATATTATGTTTTTTTGCAAAATTGTTGGGTATTATAAGTTTAGCTTTATTTTTTTGTTAAATTATTGAATACTAAATATAATATACACTACATAAATTAAAAATATTATATAATATCAAAACATGTTCTAACGTATTGAAATTTAATATTTTTTTAGAATTAACGTGTTGGAGTGTCGTATTTCATGTCCCGTGTCGGCGTCGGTGCCAGATAGGTTGAGACCAAACACAAACACAACAATAACCACAAAGTAAAAGAGACCGAGAAAAAAACAAAGGCACAAAATTCACTACCGTTCATTCATTGACGTCAGCAATATTCATTATATTCTTCTTACCCCGTCCATTAAATTTACAGGAAAAATACAAAGAAGTTTAAAAAATCCTAAATAACAACAACTATTCATGTGTTCAAGTCAAAACTAATAAAGAAAAAAATATATTCAAAGACACACAACAATACTAAGGTTGTCATTCAAATGCTAAGTATGAGTCATACCCAACGGCTCGACTAAATTAATTGGACAATCGATGAAAAGGTGGAAAAACAAAAACGAAAAAGGAGAATGTGAATATTATTATGAAATATGGATGAGCCAATTATCAATTTATTATGCTACAATTCAGGATTATCATTTATATAAATCTCCGAAGATTAAAAAGCTACATTATTTTCTTATGAAGCTAAGGAATAATAATTCATTGAAGTTGAGTACTGATGAAAATTGTGGAATATCAGACTGCTTTTGATTCGCCTCTTTATTTAGAAGAAATGAAACAATGTGTTAATTATGGATAAACACTTTTTACGGATTACTAATAGCTTCTATAGTCATCCGATGTCCTTCTGCCATAAGCTTTCATAGAGATATATATTGAACGATTATATACCGTGATTTTCTTTTAATGGATTTTAAGGTTTGTATGAATTTTAAGTTACACAACACGGAATTATTCATGTTGGGTATGGCTCATACTTCGCATGTTGATGAAGACCCTAGTTGTTGGGGTCAGCAGAAAGTCAACTGGAGAAACCGTAGAGGCTAAGTACTGTTGTTGGCCTCTGTTTTATTGTAATTTTCTTAGCAGCTTGGGTTTTGGGCCATGAGTAACTGCTGTTAGGGTTTTCTAATCCTATTTATATTTGCCTTGTAAACCGAGTGACTTATAATGAGTGGCGGTGGAGTGAATATAGTATAGACAAGCTGGACGTAGTCTATATTGGGTGAACCAGGGTAAATCGCTGTGTCTAATCTCTCTACTTTTATCTTTTTTTTTGTTTTCTCGATTATGTGTGATTGTCGATTTCCAACAATTCCTAGCGGAGACTTCACTGCTTTTATTTCTATTGTTTTAAGCAAACAAATAATAGAATCAATGAATAGTGTTTCTGGATAAACGTTTTGCAAACTTTATTTTAACTAATTAAAACTGAGTTTGAAAAGAAAAGTTTTAACCAAGAGTTGATGATCCATTTAGATCATAGGATTTGATCTATTCAAAGGTTAGTAGATTAAATTCTCGAGAGTAGCAACTCTCGAAAGGGTGAAGAGACTCAAATACAAAATCAGATTAATCTAATCTATTAGGGTTTCGGACATCAGTTGGTATTTAAAAAAAAAAAATATTTATATTTGGATATCACCACTTAAACGCAAAAGTTAGAGAGTTTAAGCTAAAATCACGTATAACCAAATTTACCCGCATTTAACCAAAGTTACAAAATAACATATTTATATTATAATCTTAACCATCTATATAAGATCTAATAGTTAAGATTAATTCCTCTCACTAACACTGTGAGTCTCACAGTAATCATTGATATGCACAATTTGTTGGACGAAATAAGTATGAAATGTTTTGTTTGAAAAACAGATGCAACTTTTTCAATTTTTGCTTTCACATTATGGACAATGGAAAAGCCTTTGCGTGTTGGGTTTCTCAAAGTTCAAGCAATGAAAATCCAAAACGTTGTCATTAATGATTAATCATTGCATAATTTGAAAACATAACTCAAAGTGTATTTTATTTATAAATAATCGACCTAATGGATTAGCACACATTTTAATTCTTGTTCGTTAGCTCATTAGAGACGTAATCACTATAATTAAATGATGGAGCTAGAAACCGCAGCCAATTATATTCCTTCTTTACACTACATATTGTTAAACTATATAATAACCAAATGTCGGTATGTTATGTATATTTCAACTTGAAAAGAGGAGTCACATGGAGTTGCACATGAAAGTCATACCTGGATAAGAAGAAGCCATAGTTGAAAATGGGTGGGGTGTTGGAATAGAGGGTTCAGGTAATGAGGATTAAAGGAGTAAGAGTCAATGTTGTTAGGTTCCTTCTTTGTCCCTTTTTCTTCATGTAATTGAGTACCAATGCGAGGCTCATATATTTGGAAAAACAAAACCCATTTTGGCTTCATCTTCTTCTCTATCATTATAACCATATATCACCATGGCCACTCTCACATCCACTGGGTTTGCGGGTTTTGTTTATATCATGATGGTATATAGTGGGAGTACTTCAACTTGTTGGTTGCAAACAAACAAATAAATAATAAAAAAGTCACCTATAAGTTCAAAGTAAGTTTGAGACCTTGAGGAAGTTATTTTTCCTTAATTTGTATTTTACATGAAGTCCTATCCTTGATAGGTAGTTACTAACAACTAAGATGGTGAAAATCATGAATTAAATTTGTGTCTAGGTACCCAATAGATGTCGGTTGTAGTGGTTAAAAGCAAGGAAGCACAGACACTTGTAAAAACAGGGAGAGTCGTGTCCGACACGCTCCGACACGGTGTCGAATACACGGTCAACTTTTTCCGACAAGTTGACCATTCCGACACGCGAATTTGACCGTGTCGGACACGGTCAAATGGCATTTTCGTAATTTTTTTTTGAGTAAATACCCCTTTTGGTCCTCAGCAAATTTCACGATGCCTGTTTTAGTCCCTAGCAAATAAAAAGGCCCATCGTGGTCCCTAAGAAATTCAAAATGGACTCATTTAGTTGAAATCGTGGTTCCTCACAAATTCAAAAAAGATCCATATTAGTCCCTAAAAGGACTAAAATGAGTTCATTTTGAATTTCTTAGGGACCACGATGGGCCTTTTTATTTGCTAGGGACTAAAGCGGGCATCGTGAAATTTGCTGAGGACCAAAAAAGGTATTTACTCTTTTTTTTAATTGTTTTTAATTTTTTTTAAAAAAATTTATTTTTTAAAAAAATTAAAATATATTAATAAAGCTTCTACCTGATCATATCAATTTTATTTTTTTGTCTTTTTTCTCTTTAAGTAGATGAGAGATCATCTCAGCATCATTGTTGTCAATTTCTATCACGCTCTTGTTGTATCTCCTTCTCTCTGATCTCTCTTTCTAATATGATTTGATCTCTCTATCTGATATTATATCTCTCTCTCATCCCAGTTCTTATTTTTTTTATTAAAGCTTCCATCTTTATAACGTGTTGATGGGTATTATTAATTTAGTTTTATTTTTTTGTTAAATTATTAAATATTAAATGAAATATACACTATATAAATTAAAAATATTATTTAATATTAAAACGTGTCCCAACGTGTCGAAATCCATAATTTTTTAGGATTGACGTGTCAGAGTGTCGTGTCGTGTCGTGTCACGTGTCGTGTGTCGTATCGGTGCTACATAAGTTAAAAGTGATTGTTTGAATCCAAAGATCGAAAGTTCGATCCTTGGAGAAGCACTCCTGCGAGGTCGAAATTGCAAAAGCAATATATATATATATATATATATATATATATATATATATATATCTAAAAAAAATTATGTCTAGTACATAAAAGTAATTCCAAGCATACAACATATTTAGACAATATACACTCATTTCAATTGAAGATATTATATGTGCAAAAGTAGATTCCAATTAAAGACGGGTATGATCTTGAAGCCCTCATCATACCCTTTTGAACAAGAAAGGGTTAAGCTATTCTATGAGGACAAGGACCACTATCCTTCACTCATTTCTTGTATTACTACCACCAAAAATACTAGCACTACGGGAGGATGAAGATGTTGGTAGTCAACAATGATATCAAAATCCCTCCATATTTTCAAGATGGTTTTATTGCCTATAATTTCGGTGTATAAATTAATTGGAGCACAACCTTAAAACTCATCATTATCTCTTATCTCTAACGTAAGAGCAGATTCTTTTATGGGTTTGAAATTGTTCTATATAAGTAGATAATTGTACGATTTGGACATGTAGTTGAATTAACTTCAGTTCTAATTTATTTAAATTCCTCCAAAATTCTCCTTCACATTTTCTTCGGTTTCTCTCACTTTGGGTTGAATTTATGAAGAGAAAAGTGTTTATCCTTTTAAATAACACAACTTATATCCTTTCACTCTTACAAAGAGGTGGGACCCACATTTTATTTTTTTGTCAACTCTCTCTCCTCCTTTATCTATCTCTTTCTCTCTCTTAAAATAAGACAACTTTACATCCTTTAAAATGACACACATTTTTCCCATTTATGAATTCCAATTTTAATATTACATCAGTCACCTGGATTCAATTTTATGGAGCACATTGTATCATAAAATATGTTAACCCAAGAGAAAATACTCTTTTAAAACGAGTCTAATTTTAAAGTTAGTAAATAATAATATATATTTAATTTTTTTTGGAAATATTTCATCGGTTCATCACTTCGCGACTAGTCCGATTCGGAGCAGGTCTAGGATTAAGGCTTTAAATCCCTTCCAAAGGTGGTACTGAGAAGAATCGAACACATGCTCTCACTCTCACTTGCTTAGCTCCCATGCGCCAATTGAGTTACCACTATTTGGTATATATATATTTAATTTAATTTAAAGTACATGTGATCTCAAACTGTTCAAATTTAAGAGTAAAATATTTACTCACTTCAAAGATAAACTCCCTCATAAGATTTTTCTATTACTATAATATACATGGATAGGGATGCATGTCAACAATCTACAACCTGAAGTGAGTTGGGGAGCAAGTATTGACTCATGTATATCTCACAATCAAACTTATGGTCCACCTCAACATCACAACTACCCTTCAATTAAAATAAGAAATTGATGATCTTTCTCTTTGCCAATCAATTATCCTCTGTCATTTTTCGCCGTCAAAATTGGTACACATCCACATGACCATCACTTAGCTTAATTTCTTTGTCTATTGTCATTGTCATCATGATATTTTATTTGGCATTTTTTTTCATTTTGAGTAAGATCAAGTACTAGTACCAATTGTGTTGGTTTGGCACTTTGGCTGAAGGAACTCCTTATACAATTCCTAGATGGCCCATGATAATGATATTTTATTTTGGGTAAGATCAAGTACCAACTTTGTGGATTATAAAACTCCTAGATGGCCCTGTAATGGGATCCAAGAGAGAAAGTGAGGGAAAGAAGAATAGAAATTGGGATGAAGAGCAGTTTTAGAATAGAATCGTACTATTCATATTACATATTTTCATGTCCCACACCTTCTGAGGGACATCATCATGACATTTTTAAACATGTGCAATCAATATGAATTTGTACCAAAGATAGAATAGGGAAATAATATATTCTTTTGGCAGATATATTGTGAGAATTGAACACATAATTTAATATAAACTACCAAAATTCCTCACCACTTGATCGAACCTAGTGGCTTCTTTTGGCAGATCATATTACAATACTAATATTCTAAACTTAATTAAAGCATCCATGTTATAAATTGAATATACGCGTATAGATAACCTTAACGAACATTATATGCTTCTCTCAAACTTAATATAGGAAGAGAAATTGATTAACAAATTACTAACCATTCAGTAATAAATTGAGAGTTGCTTCTTTATGATTCGTTTTCCTCTTATGCCATCAGAGTTAATTCCAGCTGCTGCTTGTCTCTCCATAAAGCCATGAACCTTCAACAGCCTTAGTTTTTGTTAGGCGTCAGGTGTCCTCTCAAAATTGCAGGAAATTGAATACGTGTTTTATATATACATAGGGGGATGATGAATTTATACATGTGAAAGTCTAACAAATCTTACAATCATCATTAGCCACTGATTTCATTCACATCTAATAATTTATGTAACTATCAAATCAGAACGTTAGATACAAATGAAATGAATGATTAGTAAAAAGTGTAAGACTTACACTAAGTTAATTCTAATGTTTTTTTTTTCCATCCCTCACGATCCCCCATTCAATGTATTTTCTGATATGGCTTAAAAGTTCTAAGTTCTAACAGCTATCTTGTTGTTAACGTAGTTTAATGAGGGAAAAGAAAAGAAATGTGACGGTCACATAATTACTTTAATGAATAAATTCCAGCCTTTGAATGAAAATAAAATCAATTTTTAAGATTTGATTTAAGTTTTTTATAGAGAGAGAGGAGGGAAGATCAACATACACAAGTATAAAAGTAATAAATTTTACCTTTAATTTTACAGGAAATAATTTCTGCTTCAAAAGTAAAAAAAATTTATCTTCTGCAAAGAAATAAAAAGAGTGGCTCCCATTACCATTTTTTTTCTCTTATTCCTCTATGCTTTTTCTCTCTATCAATTTGTCTATGTGACAGAGACAAATTTTTCTACTTTTAAAGCAGAAATCATATTCCCTTAATTTTAACTGTTGATCTACTTCTGAATTAAAATTTGGTACAATGTACAAACGCTTATTGTGTTACCCCAAATTATTACTCTCTGATCATATGAATTACGTTTCTCGAGCAATGTTGTATAGTTTGCGATTAATTTATCATTATTCTCGCATCCATGTTGTATCAGATTATAAACATCCTTCATATATTTAAAAATTGATTTATTTCTTTTATTCTTTTATTGTGTACTCAATTTTTTTATTACCCATTACTACTCGATTTCGAATCATGGGTCAACATCAAGGAAAATTAATTTTCCTAAATGTACAAGGTGAATGTGAAGAATTTACCTTTTTAAGACCAATAGAGGACCTTAATCTTGGTTAATGAAAACCAATATTTCCAGATCATGGGTCAATTAACCTTTACACCTGAGAGCTCTTCAAGCTTAAAAGGGTTTATTAAGCTGATAAACCATCCCTTAAAATTCAATGGAATTAAGTGAATGGCAATACAGAAACCAATTAACCTTCCAAAACAAAAAGAGTGCTCATTGCTGGCAAACTAACTGCTGTTGTGGCATCATGTTATACATACTTGGAATTTCACAACACCAATATACTATGACTTCGACCTCAGGTAGCTATATATACACACTTGGCCCTAAACATTGTGAAATTTCGCCACTGACACCAATCCTTAAAAATGAGCTTATTGTATTCCATGCATATCATAACAATATGTTAATTCGATGTACATTTTACTACTTTGAATCAGAAGTCAGTATGAACAAGTACTCAAATTCAGCATGTAACAATTCCCTTGGCTCTCCCCTTTGAGTTAGGTCAATTTTTGGGAAATAGAAACTAACATTTTACATAAAGAACTGTCGAGACAAGTCTAACCAGCAAGAGGGTTAGCATGTAGTGTCACACGATTGAGCCTTATCTCTGCAAGCGGTCGGTCCCCTGCCCCTGTTTGAGTCTGCATAACCAAAAAGTAAGTATATTATTTATTCTTTTCTCTGATTATACATAGATAATGACAAAATGCACGAATATGACACACACACAAAAAAAAAAAAGGGAATGTAGACCTCAGTTGAGTTGCCAAATCAAACCAAAACCTTAAAAGTCTGAGTCTCACCTTGAGCTTCAAGCCTTTAACTCGATTGGTTTTTTTTTAAAATAAAAAAAGCAATTTTAACAGAAGAATAAGATACCTTTTCCATGAGATCCAGAACTTCAAATCCATGAATTACTCTGCCAAACACAGTATATAGTCCATTCAAATGTGGCTGCTTTGCGTAAGTTAAAAAGAACTGACTTCCATTAGTATTTGGACCACTGTTAGCCATTGCCAATATTCCCCTTGCATTGTGCTGGAACATACAAAAGGGCAACATGTTAACTACCACGATTATGAAACGAAGAAAAATGTCTATAATTATTGCTTCATAAGACACATCTCAAGAAATGTCCCACTACGCTTATGCCAGCCCCCAGCCCACCACTACCACCGCAAACCAAAAAGATAACATTGAGATACTAAAATGTAACAGCTGTTGGATAATTATATTTCAATACAATAAAATTGACTTCCATCCACAAGAAATTAAGTGTTGGCCAATCAAGATGCATATAAGAAAAAATAAATATGAAGTTTTTAACATGCTAGAGCCAACCAATTAGGCTATGATGAATTGGTACTTTGTTAAATATGATAAAATTTCTCACAAAATTACAAAGTTAAAAGGTGTTAGAAATTACTTCATATTAGCTACAGAGATTGCTTAGAGATAACTCTCAAATACGATGAAATAGTCTGAAGTCTGAACTCTGAAGTAATTTCAAGAATCATTTTGCATGAAAAAATGATTCTCAATTGAATCCTGTTGATAACACTGTATCTCAATCATTATCTTAATTTTAAGGCCATGCTAACAGAAGTGGTATTTATCCAATGGAAACTATGTGCGATTTCTACACTCAAGTTTTATACTTCCGATATTGGCGTTGAGAGTCAAAACAAGTATAAGAGACATGCAGACTAAAGGAATACATAACCCTAAAGACATAGCTTCATACTTCATACTTCGTACTGATTAGGAAAGTGTATGAACTCACCTTCAGAGATTCTCTTATCTCATCGTTAAATTTCTTGCCCCATATACTGGTCCCTCCTTTGCCAGTACCAGTTGGGTCTCCACCTTGAATCATAAAACCTTTGATGTTGCGGTGAAATATAGTCCCATCATAGTAACCACTTGCACATAACGCTAAAAAATTCTACATTCAAATACATTTTACACATGAGAATTGGACTTTTAGGTTACACTACAGTACCCTTCAATATAGAACAACCAATGGAAACCTCATATAAGGACAAGCATGAGAATTGCAAGAGTGATACAATGGTTTTGTACTTTTGTTCATAATCCCCATTTTTGATTTAAACAACTCCATTCTCCATAAAGCGACAACGTGTTTAGATTAGCTTATTTTGGTTCAAAACACCTCAAAATCAAAATCACACAGAGGGAACTTATCAACTAAAAAAAAAAAAATTTCTTCCAAAAGCAGGGAAGAGGGTGAGCCTGTAGCAGTGGTAAAACTGTTCCTTTTTGACTGAAAGGTCACGGGTTCGAATACGAAAATAACCTCTTTGCAAATATACAAGGGTAAGGCTGCGTACAAAGATTACCCTCACCCCATCCTCACTAGTCGAGGTTTAATGAAGAATAGTTAATTAATCAAAACCACGGTAAATCTTGAAGCGTTTAAGATCATGGATTCGAGTATGGAAAACAATCACTTTGCAAAAATACAAGGGTAAGTTTATTCTTTGTGACCGGAAGGTCATAGGTTCGAGTATGAACAACAATCACTTTGCAAAAATACAAGGATAAAGTTGTATGCAATCGAGCCTCACCTCTACCCTTGTAAGTACTCCAGGCTTGCCCTTTTTAATTAATCAAAAGAAGACACATGGTAAACCCAAATTTAAATTAAGGTGAATATGTGAGCAAATGTTTAAGATGAATTTCAGAGTGATAGATAATTTAGTATGGAATAGTGAAGTAATTATTTTATTTAAATTATTATTATTAATATTTTGAAGAGAGGGTTTCAATATAATTAACCAAAAGCAAGCATGTAACTGAAATAAAGCGGAGAATTGAGGTAGATACCTCGGAGGTCTTAGGAACCTCGTCGCAGAAGATTTCGCACTTGATGTCGCCTAGGTTTGTGTGCAGAGTCACCGACTGAAAATTCACAACAACACCAACAACAACACAAACACCAAATCAGGGTGAGTTAGAAAAATTTAACATATACACGCATTGCAAAGAGAGTGATACAAAAGTTACTACTAACCATTTGAATTGACTTGATTTGATTGTTCACAATCCCAAAATCGCGAACCCAACGAGTTCTCACACTGAGAAGCTTCTAGTTTTGAATGCGCCACTGAAAAGAATCGGCTGGCACTGTTTTAGGGTATAATTGGAATCTGATTCCAATTTTAATTCCATGTTCTTTTTCATATTATTAAAAAAATAATTTGAATATTTGTAAAAAAAGGTATTTGTTAAAAAATATACAACCGTGGATTCTAGTTATTGAAAAAGGGAGAAGATTACATTTATAAATTTTCTGTTGATAAATTTTAACAAATTATATTATGTCTGACCGGTAAGATATTTTTGAGTAAAATCTGATCGATCAGACATAGTGTAATTTGTAAAAAAAGGTTTGTCAATATAATCTTACTCATAAAAAAATACTTCTATATTAATTTGATAATATAAGAATCAAATTAATTAGATAATTAATAAATCGGTTGAAAAAAATATTTAATTTACATTGTTGGTTGATTGACCATTTTATCCATATTTTAAAATTAATTCATCACTTTGTTCATTTTTTTAATTTAAATATCAATTTGTCCTTTGATCAAAGTTTGACCAAATCTTAATTCTTGATAAATTATTTATTCGAGTAAATGACTGATTTATTCAAATAAGTGTATGCCAAATTTTAGTCAAATAAGAATATACTGATATATAATTTGAAGAGAGTAGTAAATTGATATATTTGAAAAGAGGGGTTAAGTAGGATACCAAAAAAAAAGAAAAAGAAAAGAGGGGTTAAGTAATAATTGTTTTATTAAAATAAGGGCAAGATGGTTAATTTAAAGGATTAGATAAAGTTATTTCATAAACCCCAAAATGATGTAATTTAAAGGTTCGGAAAAAACAATGCAGGCATTTCAGTATTCTTTTAAAAAATGAGATAAATTATTTTGATATTTTTCAATATTCTATATTTTATTTTTATAAGTATTTATATATTTTTTTTCATTTTTCTAAAAGAAATACTCCTACATAGTCCACAAAACATAGGCACCCCAAACCTTTTTTTTAATGAACCTATTGAGTTCTTATTTTACTTTTATTTGGCTAATTAAAGCTTGTGAGACATACTTGCGCTACCATTCAGAGATTTATTACCTTTTTTTTTTTTTTTTTTGCTCTTATTAATTCTTAACCATTAATAAGAACAGAAATAATAATAGCCTGTTCGTTCAGGCTTCTCAACGCAAAATAGGTCAACTTTAACATGTAAATTGAACACAATTCAACATATAAATGGAGGGGGGGGATAATCAATTTCTTTTTTAATGAACATGATCAAGTTAGCTATCCATAATTGCATACCCCATCACCTTTCAAGTTCCTCATTTATTTCTGGATTTATTACTTCTGATACCACTCTCCTTCCCTCTCTTTGCTCTCTTTTGAAAATCTCATTTGCAATCCCAGAAACTCTGCCATTCTACAAATACTCTCAGACTCTGGGTGTGACTTATCCCCAGAGGAGAAACCATGCAAATACAAGGAATCAACATTACCAACATCCACCCAACTAAATCCCACTTCCTTCTTTACTCTCCTCCCTCTCATCCTTTTTCTCACTTCAGCAACTTTCTCCCACTTCCCTTTATCAGCATATAAGTTTGCCATCAACACATATGGACCTGAACTTTCAGGGTCCATTTCTATCAAACTATCAACAACCTTCTCAGCCATCTCCATATTCCCATGTAATCTACAAGACCCAAGTAAGCTTTGTAACACTGATAATCCAGGTCCTCCTGGAATCTGGTGCATCAACTCTTCTGCCTCATTTAGTCGTCCTGCACGGCCTAGCATGTCCACCATAATAGAATAATGTTCAGGGGCTGGTTCAATTGAACGTTTTTTAACCATAGAGTCAAAGACTCTATGGCCTGCATCAACCATGCCCTTTCTACAACATACAGCTAAAACAGAAAGGAAAGTGATGGAGTCAGGACTGATTCCTTCCCTCTCCATTTCCTTATACAAACTCATCACTGACTCATAGTCTCCATGGCAAGCATAGGCAGATATTATTGCTGTCCATGCAAACTGGGTTCTTTCAGGTGTCTCGTTGAACACTCTTTGAGACTCACTTATGTCTCCACGCTTGCCATACATGTCAAGCAGAGCCCCTGCAACAATTGGGTCAGTGCTTAAACCAAGTTTGAGCAAGTGAGAATGGCAACGCTGCCCATGTTTCAAAGATATATCCTCAGCAGCAGCAATTGCATTTAAGACACTACCAAATGTGTATTGGTTGGGCTTTATCTCCTTTGTAGCAGACAAAAATGTAATGAAAGCTTCTTTACAGAAGCCATTTTGAGCATACCCTGAAATTAATGCATTCCATGATATTGTTTCTCGATTGTTAAGCTCCTCAAAAATCTTCTTTGATTCATGAATGGACTCAAACTTGGCATACATGGTAATTAAGCTATTGGAGACATTTTGTTCTGACAAAAAGCAGCTTTTTATGCAAAACCCATGAACCATTTGACCTTCTGTCACAAGATTCCTGATTGTTATAGCATGTATTAATCCTATAAATGTAACATCATTTGGATACACACCATCAATTCTCATCGCATTAAAGAGAGACACTGCATCTTCTTCATCAATAGAAATCATTGTTGTCCAAGAGACCACATTTCGATTACTCATGAGCTGAAAAACCGCTTTTGCATCTCTAAGAATCTGACATTTTGAATAAGTCGATATCAAAACATTGCAAACTGAAACATGTGTTCCATATCCCAATTTTTGGGTCAAACCATGTATCTGCCTCCCTAGCTCTAAGTTTTTCATATAACCACAAGCTGAAACTGCACCTGTTAATGAAACATGGTCTAGCAACATACCTTTTCTTACCATGTTGATGAACAATGAAACTGCTTCAAACCCACAACATTCCCCCTCTTGAGCATAGCCCGAAAGCATCGCATTCCACGAAACCAAATCTCTTATGGGCATTTCATCAAACACTCTTCTAGCCTCATCTAGTCTCCCCCACCTCGAATACATGGTTATAAGTGCATTCCCTATAAAAACTTCACAACCAAATCCACATTTAAGTACAAGAGAATGCAATTGCCACCCAAAGAAAAACCCATGATCATCCCAACATAAGGCAAGAGCAGTAGTATATGTTACCGGATCAAACACTATCCCACTGAAATGCATAGAACGTGCAAAAATCAAAGCATCCACACTCTTCTCAAACCCTGAAAGGATGGTATTCCAAGAAACTATGTCAGGATGACTCAAATTCTCAAAGACATGCAAAGCCCTTTCAAAATTCCCAGACTTGCAGTACATTTTCATAAGCGAATTGGATACCGAGACGCGGGAAACAAACCCAGTAGATACCACGAATCCATGGATTTGGCACCCAAGTTTAAACTCTCCTTGACAAGCCTTGAGAGACAGGGCAACAGTAACCTCGTCGACATGTTCAAGAAAATGCAATTGGAACTGCTTCTTGAATACGGCAAGAGCTTGAAAGGGAAGGTTGCTGTGCAAATGGTTAAGCATGGAACGGTTAACTGAAGCAGCGTTTGGGTGGGGAATATGGTCGAACAGGTGGTGTTCATGTTTGAGTGCGTGAAACAACACTTTGGAGCCAATTTTGAATGATAGTTGTAACGGTACTTTATGGAGGGTTTTGAAAGCTACTTGGGAGTATACCATGAGAAACAAAACAACGTTAGTGTTTGTCTATAGAATAAATCAATTTTGAACGCTGTTACTTGCGAGTATATCATGGGAATTGGGAAACAAAACGTTTGTGAATTGTGATAGTTTGTCCACAGCATTTAATTTTTTTTTTTAATAAATGTAAAGTTTAAAATAATATTAAAATTATTTAGTATTATATAATTTTTTAACTTAAAATAATATTAAATAGGGAAGGGATCGCAATTCGCAAGAAGAAGAGATCAATAAATATCCCAACTCAAAATGGAATATAAATGATAGGAGTAATCTTTTTCATGTTATATGTGATAATTTTATCTCCTATAAATATATAAAAGTATGTGGGCCATGTAAAAAAATATATATATATATATATATATATATATATATAGATCCTATATACTTTTATATGCATGTAGAAAGTAATTTTATCTTCTATGACATAAAAAACATTAATGTCATAAATAAAACAAACGAGGAGAGTACAAATTGAGCGACAATATTGTGAGAAATTCGAAGGAGGAGCAAGATTGTTGCAGAACCAGATTATATACAAGGCCCAAATGTCAGCCCATACAATCTGGGTATTTGAGAGACTGCATAACAGACTAAGGAGCCCAATTCAAGAAGACCATTGTCTTAATTGATTAGATTATCTTAGTTTGAATTTGATTTGCTTGATGTCACTTTTCAAATTATTTTTAGGAGTATCTTTAATCATTAGATTAGGCTTATCTAGACATTTTGAACATACTTTTGGATTGTATTTCGGTTAGGACTCTTGGGCTATAATTATAAATCTCGTTGAAAAAAATGATATGCAAAAGTTTAGTTATCTCTTCTCCCTCTGTAATTCTTCTTCTCCTTCCTTCTTGTTTGAAAGATAGAAAGTTTTTTTTTTTATCTTCTTAAAAAATAATCTGTTTTCTTTAACAGTTTTTATAAAATATTATTTAGTTTGATTTCTCTTTCTTTCTTTTTTTATATATATCCACTGATTTATTAATAGGTTCTCTTTTTCTATAGTCAATGTAGATAACTTATTTACATTGAACCCAAAACGACGTCGTTTTGAGGCGGAAATCAAGGTATTTTGTAATTATAATTTATTTCAGGGTTATAATAGTCTTTTTTTTTATAATTTTTTAATTTTTCAATCCAAAACGACGGTCGTTTTAAGAGCGAATGTAGATAACTTATCTACATTCACTTTAGAAAACATTAAAGTCTTTATTAATTACCCTTTATAAAGCAGCTCTCCTAATATTATTTTCTCCATTTTTAGGCTTGAATTTGAGATTTTTGATTAAGAGAAATAATTTCCTTACAACTTGAACAAATGATTAATAATTGTTATCTCTTCCTTAAATAGAAAAGAAGGTAAAAATAAGACCGAATAAGCACTAAATATTATTATTGTTCGGTAAAAAAACTCGAGCCATATATGTTAGAAAATTATATTTTCTAATAATTATTGTGGGTCACATATTATATTAATAATTATATTGTGCTATTTATATATATTGGGTAAATTAAAGTGATCAGGTAAATATTCCCAAATAGATTCCTAAGTGAGTATGGACTGAATAAGTGGATACCGGTGTTGGGCCAACTAGGTATAATGGGAGCTTATTGGCCCAACAATAAAGATAAAAACACTATAAAGGGTTATGGTCCCCAAGACGTCAAAATGAACAATCCTAGTTTCTCTTCCCCATCAAGAGAGAGACAGCACACTAAGGAATTCGGTTTTAGGGTGATTTGACTGAGGAAGACTACAAACCCCAAGAGACAAGATAAATGTTATTCCGCTGCAATGGAGACAGGTATGCCTCCACCTTTATGTTCTTATTTCTTTATGATTTGGTATGATGGATCTTGGCTTGTAGGTGATAGTTATCACCATAAGGTTTATAGGAATTAAAAATTCCAACAATTGGTATCAGAGCCATTATCATATTGAATTATAAGGGAATTAAGTTTTGTGATTTTTATATATGATTAATCATGAAAAGTTTTGCTTTATTGTCTTTTGGCATAAATTTTATTATTTTTTGAACGTGGGTTCCATCTTATGTATTTTGTATTAGCTATGTAGTGTTATTTTTGTTCACTGACGGTGATTTTTTGGTTTTGGAACAAAAGCTACATTTTTTAGAAAAAAACTAGGATTCACAGTTTAATAAGGGTTTATTATTTAAATTTTGAATCTGTGAATAGATGGAATGTTTGGAAGAATTTTGGCTTTATAATCGATGAGGTTTTGTTGTTTGAATTTTTGGAATAAACAATGAATTCTCTTAGAAAATTTTGGACTTACGGTTTGAAAGAAATCAAATGTTTAAGGTCTTTGGTTTTGGGGTTTTCCTTATATTTGATATTCTTTGTTAAAAGCTAAATATAATTTTTGTGTGTGGATATTATGCATCATTTTCAAGCTTTCATTTGAAAAGGCTTACATGTGCGTTGTTTGTGCATCATTTTTTAAGCCTTATAATGAATAGGTAATTATTGTTAATGGTATAAGGATAAAGTATGTATGTATATACATTGAGGATTGATAAAGAATAGTTTTCTTTATTGTTGTTATTTTGGTTTTAAATGGGTTTATTATCCCTAAAGGTTTCTATTTGAAATTAAATATGATAGATTTGTTAGCCGCCATAGTGGCCAAATTTAGAAAAGGTTAATTTGATTTCAAATAGGTTGGTCATATTAATATATTCTATTTATGCAAATATTAATCGGCCCACAGGAAGGTTATTGTTTGGCCAAATAACATATGTTGTGTGATCATGTGTGTGTTTATTGCTTATGCGAATAGTGATCGGCCCACAGAAAAGTTATTATTTGGCCAAGTAACAAACATACTTGTGGTAATAAATATGTGACAATTATCAATAATTCTCCATGTAATTCATAGTCGGCCCACAGGAAGGCTATGATTTGACAGGACTTATTGTCAATGTTTGATTACTACATTAAGAGTACCACTTACAAGTTGATATTTTTGTCCATAGACTAAATATTAATGTTGTGCTAGGTATCTTATAATAAACTCATTTTACTTCGGATTATTTGTCTATATCGTGTATGAATATATATGATATGACATGTTATTAGTATGTTATCTTTTTTGGTTCTCTGTATAGTTTCTGCTACCGCTGCCAATTATGTTGCTCAAATGAATATGCTTCCAATGCTTAATGGGGCAAATTTCAAGATGTGGAAAGAGAATGTGGAAATTGTTCTCGACTGCATGGATCTCGACAATGCACTAAGGACTGAGAAACTCACTTCCACTCAGGAAAATCCAAACATGGATAAAATTGAGAAGTGGGAACGCTCAAATCGCATGTGTTTGATAATCATGAAACGTTCCGTTCCGGAGGCGTTTTGGGGCTCGATTGTTGAGACTACTAATGCCAAGTTGTTTCTTAAGGAACTCGAGCAATACTTTGCTCGAAATGAAAAGGCTGAAATTGGTCAAACCTTGTCCAAACTCATAAACATGAGGTATAAAGGAAAGGGAAACATAAGGGAGTACATTATGGAAATGTCTAATCTTGCTGGAAAACTAAAGGCATTAAAGTTAGAGCTACCCTCTGAGTTGCTCATGTACTTAGTTATTATCTCTCTTCCTGCACAATACGGTCAATTTGTGGTGAGTTATAACACTCAAAAGAAAAAATGGACTCTTAATGAGCTCATTTCTCAATGCGTGCAAGAGGAAGAGAGGTTACAGCGAGAAAAGACTGATAGTGCTCACTTGGCATCAACCTCTCAAGACAAGAAAAGAAAGAGAGCTAAGGATAATGCGGATGCTTTGCCAAAGAAGCAAAAGAAGCAGGACCAGGAATTCACTTGCTTCTTTTGTAAGAAATCTGGACACATGAAGAAAGAGTGTTCCAAATACAAGGCATGGCGCGAAAGGAAGGGTATGACTCTCACTTTAGTTTGTTGGTACTGGTTCTGTGGCACAAGCGTTTAGGTAATATCTCTAAACAAAGAATTTAGAGGCTTGTGACTGATGGAATTCTTGAACCCCTTGATCTGGATGATTTTGAGGTGTGCATTGAATGCATAAAGGGGAAACAGACAAACATAAGGAAAATAGGTTCCAACAGAGCTTCAGACGTCTTAGAATTGATTCATACGGATATTTGTGGACCATTTCCTATAGCCTCTTGGAATGGTCAACAATACTTTATCACATTCATAGACGACTATTCAAGATTTGGATACTTATATTTGATTAGAGAGAAGTCACAATCATTGGATGTGTTCAAAGAATTTAAAGCTGAAGTTGAACTTCAGTTAGGCAAGAAAATTAAGGCCATTAGATCTGATCGTGGTGGTGAATGGTAGATCTGATGGATCAGGTGAACAACGTCCAGGGCCCTTTGCGATCTTCCTAAAGGAGTGTGGAATCGTCCCGCAATACACAATGCCAGGTAAACCTAGCAAGAATGGTGTTGCGGAAAGGCGAAACCGGACTCTTAAAGACATGGTGAGGAGTATGCTTAGTCATTCTTCATTGCCAGAATCACTTTGGGGAGAAGCACTAAAGACTGCAGTTTATATCCTTAATAGGGTTCCCAGCAAAGCAGTGACAAAAACCCCTTATGAGCTATGGAATGGAAAGAAACCTAGTATAAGGCATTTACACATTTGGGGTTGTCCAGCAAAAGCAAGGCCTTATAGGCCAAATGAAAGAAAGTTGGACTCAAGAACAATCAGCTGCTATTTTGTTGGATATGTTGAACGCTCTCGGGGCTTTAAGTTTTATAATCCCACTACAAGATCCTTTTTTTTGAGACGGGAAATGCCAGATTCCTCGAGGATGTTGAGTTTGGGGGGGAAGATAAAATAAGGAATGTTGTCTTTGATGAGGAAGAAAATAATATTTCTCTTCCTAATATTGTCATCATTCAAGATGCAATTACGGAACAAGCAATTAATGATCAGGTCCCTGTTCATGACATTGTTATGGA